TTTTTTTTATTTTACAACTATCTACCGATATGTGCCCTTCTTTGCGAGGCAATCGAAAACTTCCCTGGTCTTTGTGGTTGAATCTGTATTTGAAATTCACTGCTCGACTGAGGGACCTTACAGATAATTGTATGTGTGAGGTACAGAGATGAGGTAGTCATTACACAATCATGTTAAACACTATTAGTGCACACAGAGTGAGTCCATGCAACTTATGACTTGTTAAAACACATTTTTACTCCTATTTAGGCTTGCCATAAGAAATGGGTTTCACAACATTTCAGCTTTTCATTTTTAATGAATTTGCAAACATTTCTAAAAACATAATTCCACTTTGACATTATGGGGTATTGTGTGTAGGTCAGTGACACAGAATCTCAATTTAATTCATTTTAAATTCAGGCTGTAACACAACAAAAAGTGGAAAAAGTCAATGGGTGTGAATACTTTCAGAAGGCACTGTACTAGAATAGAAAATGGCAAATGTCAAAACATTAATAAGCTATGGTACAGTTAATGTTGACAAAATAGTCAGTGGAAATGGGTTTGAAATGCCCAAACTTTTGGAGTGTAACAAGTCACTAACCAACCAATAAAGGTTCATTTTCATTTGCTTAATTCTTTGATTTCTCCTTTTATTTGTCATTCTGAGCGAGAGTGAGGGAGAGAGAAGCAGCAGACAACAACAACAAAATCAAAGACCTGCTGTCACCTGTCAACTCAGCCAATGGGCTGAGTTCAATATTCTAATTATTTCTCTGTCAATCTGTCACTCGTTCCACTGTGTAAATCCCACTGGCAGGGGAACACTGTGCCTGTCTGACCTAGCCCTTCTGAGAGATCTTGTCTGGGTACTGTCTTTCTGGCCCCCGGGTATGAGACCAGCTAACTGGACACAGATGACAATTCAACGTCTATTCCATGTTGGTTCCACATCATTTCGTTGAAATGACGTGGAAACAACGTTGATTCAGCCAGTGTGTGCTCAGTGGGAGGGTGCTTGTGATCCACGGTCTACTAGGGGGGCTGGCTCGGCTAGAGGAAACAGGAGGGCAACAGAATTAATTAGCTCAGACTTAATTGCCATGACATTTCAAATGAGATGTTTTCATTGGTAAACACAGAATGATGCATGTATCGCTGACATTTATGAAAAAGCAGCTACTTACGCGCTGACTTGTGCTAGATTGTGCTGTATAGAAACAGGGCCAAAGTAATAACAACCACAACATAATATGTTGTCCTCAGAGTAGCCAACAGAGGGCTTTTGGCAATATCTTGGTAATACAGATGTGTCATTTCACTAATTAGGTGCCTTTTGAGTAGTGTAATTGCACAAACATTTTCCCATCTCAAGAGGTTAAATAAATAAAATGACTATAGTAAGTGCCTATTAATTGCCAAATAAAGTAACAGGGTTGATGGTAACAGTGTTGACGATTTCATCTTAAATCAGCCAAAAATCCCTTGTGACAGGCGGAATGGAAGCTTGTTGTGTGCATAACAGTTCTAGCCTGTATATCTATAGGTAACAGAGTTGACTTATTATGCTCGACCCGCTCAGTTTTCCACCACAAAACACCAGAAATTGTCCAAAAAGAGTAGAACCAGCTCACCTACATGCTTTTACACTATGATTTGACTATAGAGACATAGGATGCACAGAGGGACATGTTTGCATATTGCATTTTCCATGTGGTCTATATTAAAAGGGCACCTAATTTAATAACAGATTTTTCTAATTCAATATTTGTGCACAATTTCTACTTAAAATATCAAAGGGACGCAAAAGGCACTCATTTCGTAGAAACATTTACATTTGAGTCATTTAGCAGACGCTCTCATCCAGAGCGACTTACAGTTAGTGAGTGCATACATTTTTCATACTTCACCATGAAAACGACCAAGAAAGAAATGCAATAACTCAAGCGCTGCTTCAATTAAATAAAATTCAACAGCAAAAGCTCTGTGTTGACATTGCATGGAGCCCATGAGTGTTCTAATCTAAAGGTCTATTTGGAGAGGGATGCTGACCCCGTCCCCTGCCTTGGCCCTGTCTCTATCCAGCAGGATGATCTGTAGAGGAGTGAGAAAGAGGGAGTGACATGCCTGGGTGGCGGTGCCCAGACCCTCAGGGTAAAACCAGAGTTCAGGCGAAGAGATGGGAGGAGTCAAGCTGGCCTCGCTGCCTCCCTCAATGCTGCAGATAGGCTATTTCTGTGGACAATCACGCATCAGCCACATCACAACATAGACTACTCCCTCGCTCTCCAGTTTGTACTTGAATCTCTCACTTGAACAAGTTAGCTATCTCTTACAATGGTAAGATTGGCGAGTAAGTACTGATGACACCTAACCTGCTTGATACATTAAATTAAACAACAGTCAATATTTTTGCTTTTAAGTCATTCAGTGTTGACAGTAAAGTACAACAAATATGCATAGTTTATCAATGGTACATAAACCTACTGATTTCATAAGGATGTCCCTTCAGCTGCTCATGGTTTTAACCAATCTAGACATATAGCACTTCGTTTTTACTGTAGCTTCCCCCAATCTTACAACCTGATTGGTAGATTCCATTTCAGCAAGCCTGAGGACAAGACTTGACTGTTAATAGTGATGGTATGAAAATGTAAAATCGCAAACCATTTTGTCAGACTCAGAAAATAACAGAAACAGAAAACTTGTTTTATATGTCAGTCCATGCCAATCAAAAATCCATCCAGTATGAAGCACTTGATAGTCCATTTGACTTGTACTGTAGGCCTATTATGCAGCAAAAAATGATGGCTTCTAACGCTATCACAACCTGCATCAGTGTGAACAATAGTGTTGTGGTAAACAAACATAACATTTTACATTTACATTTACATTTTAGTCATTTAGCAGACGCTCTTATCCAGAGCGACTTACAGGAGCAATTAGGGTTAAGTGCCTTGCTCAAGGGCACATTTACGTCATTTAGCAGACGCTCTTATCCAGAGCGACTCACCAATTGGTGCGTTCACCCTATAGCCAGTGGGATAATCACTTTACAATTTTTTTTGGGGGGGGGGGGGGGGGGGGGGGGGGTAGAAGGATTACTTTATCCTATCCCAGGTATTCCTTAAAGAGGTGGGGTTTCAAATGTCTCCGGAAGGTGGTGAGTGACTCCGCTGTCCTGGCGTCGTGAGGGAGCTTGTTCCACCATTGGGGTGCCAGAGCAGCGAACAGTTTTGACTGGGCTGAGCGGGAACTATGCTTCCGCAGAGGAAGGGGAGCCAGCAGGCCAGAGGTGGATGAACGCAATGCCCTCGTTTGGGTGTAGGGACTGATCAGAGCCCGAAGGTACAGAGGTGCCGTTCCCCTCACTGCTCCATAGGCAAGCACCATGGTCTTGTAGCGGATGCGAGCTTCAACTGGAAGCCAGTGGAGTAACCTACCACTACGTGTATTCAATGGTCTCAAGCGCTTAATGTTTACAATTTCCCCCCCTTGATGATATTGGTGTTTTTCAAGTTCACTTGTCATCCTTCAGTTTTTGCCCCTTGACACACTGAATGTTCTCATTTTAATTTATCTGATGGAGCCAATTTAGTTTGACACAGCTGGCTGATAAACATTCCACAGATAGCAGCCCTGCAAAGCAAATGTATCTGGCTGTGGATAATGAAGGTCAAACAAGTGTTGTGGTGCATGTTAAAAAGCTGTTCCCTTCCTCACCATCAACTGAGATGCCAACCCCAGTCAAACTGCCCCAGAGGTCAATTCCAGAGTAGATAGAGCAATGCAAAAATGTATCTAGCTTGGCTGAGCTTGAAATAAACATTCTATGTCATGACAACAATTCTGGCTTAGGTTAACCTAAATACCACGACCTGAGGGTGTGTGTTATATGTCAGGAAAACGTGTTGCCGTATAGTGTGTTTCATTTCATCAGGAACACCCGTATCTTCAGGGCACTCACTGGATGGTTGGCCTAAGCAGGGGGTACAAATACGAGTTTTGTCTTTTGGCAGTGTGCCTTGCTCTGTTCCAACACCTTCCCTGTGGCATGGGGACACCATCACAGCAGTACCCATAAACCTGCAGGCTCTCCCTGCCCCCTCCCCACTCGTCTCTGACCCTGATGCTGTACCCATATCTATCTCAGAGAAGGGCTGCTTTGCTTCCCAAAACATCCCAGAGACAAGAGAGTTAATCTGTCACAAGACATTAGCAGCCATGTCAGCAGCTGACAGATCTGACTTAGTATGGGAGGAGTGAAAACAGCAATACACGTATGATTATTTATATTTGAGCTGTCAACAAATAGGCTTACTTAAGCTCAGATGTTTTGAAATACTCTGACCATAAAATGTCAAGGCTGCTCCTTTTTTAATAAACATGCTTTTATGCAAACAATATAGTGAGAACATTTAAGTCAATCAATAAGCGCATTGAAACCTGGTGTAGAATAAATGCAATTTCAAAGGTCTGAGTTACACTGTAAAGTTCTTGCTCTGTGTGTTTTTTATAGTCTGAACAGTGAACAACAGTGGCTGCTAATCATTAAGCTTGGGGCTGCAACACACAGTGGGCCACATCCTTTATTATCCCACATTAGTCATAGCCAATTAACACAAAGATATATTCAGTCATAATAAACAGCAATTAAGGGAAAACAATGAATATCTCAAGTAAAATCTGAAGTTTATTGTTAATGATTGTGCATGATTCATTTACTGTAGAAATACTTCACAATGATACTTGGAGGGGAAACAATCTCCAGTTTCGAAATGTCCCGCCTTGAAGCGGAATCCTATCTCCAGGGGCTGTGCTGATCTAATCCCCCCCAAAATTCCAGTAACTATGTCAACCCTGCAGTTACTCTGAGGACACAACTACCTCCCTTACAGCAAGCATACCAGGAACATTTAGGATAAAGAGCATGACTGAGAACCAAGGTGGATGATTGACCTTTTGATTGGTTTATTGCAGGGCTCTTCAACCCCGTTCCTGGAGAGCTACCCTCCTGTAGGTTTTAGCTAATTATTAGAATCAGGTGTGCTAGACTAGGGTTGGTGTGAAAACCTACTGGTTTATTGACTGTTTAAAGTCTTTTTCGTCAGTCAAAAGGATACAGTTAAGAGCATGCACCTACAGACTGTGTGCAATGAAGTGATGCCTAAATAGAAGCTGGAACCCTGTTATCACAGTCTTGAAATGTTATGCGCCCACCCACAGAGCCACACACCCACTCTCATACTTCTCTGTTTTAAATTAATGTGCAACTGAGCATTTAGCCCAAATATAGATTCATAAATAACTGTAGCACATCAATGGGGATATAAGCATAGCTTTCTGCTGTGTGGTGTAAGTCACATTGACACAAACACATTTGATGGCCTTTTGAGTCAAAATCCCAACACCCAATACTAAAAACACTTAAACGAACAAACAAGCAGTTTTCATTTCTTCCGTGGAACCTTGTCTCCAAGTGGTACTTCATCAATAAGTTTCTGAAATAAGATTAGAAATGATAAACCATGTGACTAAATATTTGGAAAAAGCCACAAATCCCTCCACAAGGACCATCAAAGCTTACCTCCAGTATTCGAGTATAGTACGTCATGTCGTCCTCCATCTCCCCCCGGGCGTCATCCACTTGGTATCTCCGACAGGCCAGAACCAGCTCGTTGGCATTGAAGAGAGGGGCCGGGTCGATGGAATGGCCGTTGATGAGGCTCACCAAGTACTCTCTGTAGTGTTTCCTGGAATAGATTAGGCAAAAACCAGTTAGTTACACCTATGCATGTTTTCATGTTTATCATGGGAGCACTCTGTTGTTCTCTAAAGCGCCTTTGAGTCCTTGAAAAACGCTGGTGGTGGCAGTGAGAGGTGACATACTCGCAGAGTCCTGCATGGCCAGGCTGAGTTTGAGCCCCACAGGCCGAGTCCATCTGCTGCCCACCCTCATCCTTCTGCTCTATCACTCCGCACAGCCCTGAGAGAGAGAGAAAATAATATCTTAGTATTTCTCAGTTTTCAGTTTTTCTAAGTAAAAAGGAAAGAACAGATAGAATCTTACCTGCTTGAGTTCCTGGAGGGGTGTCAGTATTGAACTCAACATTCTTGTTCTGCAAACAGACAATAACAATAAACAATCATTTAATGCGATCCAGCTACAGATATTCGTACAATAAAATCAGTTATAACTGTGAATGTGAGTCAGGGTGCTATAACGTGGTTATGGTGATTGTAATGGTGTGTGAGCATCCGTGTGTGTGTGTGTGTGTAGTGTGCGTCTCTACCTGCAGCAGGGCTTGCAGTCTGCCAGGCTCCCAGTCCCTCAGGTAGAACAGACAGTCTCGAGGGTGATGGGCATGCAGGCCTGTCACACTACAATGGATCACTGCACAAGTCTACAGAAGAGGGAGGGAGAGAGGAGAGGGAAAAAAGGAAGGAGAGACAGAGAGAGAAAGAGTGAGTGAGACCGAGAAAAGAAAGAGAGAAATGGTGGGAGAGGAGGAGAGGGAGAGAGTGGCAGAGAGAAGGAAAAACAAACACCTACATTAAAGCGACATTCAAGCCAATTCCCATAAGAAAAACCTTGCCAGGAACTAGCACAATCGATGACGTACAAATGAACAACACAAACACACCAAGCCATTTAAGAAGGGACTTACAGTGTGGAAGGGGTTGTTGCATCCGCTGCAGAACTGGTACCTGCACTGGGAGCAGCTGAAGTGCATACAGCCTCCTTTGGACAGGGCATACTGGAACCTGCAGTTTGGACATGCTGAGGGAAAGAGTAAGTACATTCAGGGAAATGAATCCCGGGTATTGGGAGAGTACACATGAGAATGCATCAGGGAAAGAAGCTAAACAAGTTTTAATAATTTCCACAAATGAAGGTCATGGAAGAGACTGTAAATACTTAATGTAAAGGGTCTAACTTGCTCTGACTTGGTAAAACAGGGTCTAAAGGAAAATACACACCATAATGAAATTGGGACGTGTGCAGTAGAACACCTGCTGAGTGTCGATGAACGGTGGCAATTCAACATGAATTGTCGAGAAATGAACAGAAAATGACGGACAATGTTCTGTGCGGTCAGAGGCGATAGGAGGACCACCTGCTGCTTTTAACTGTTCGTCGGCACAGTCCGGTTTGTCCTTATTCTTCTGGCTTAGTTCATGCAGAAGGCCTACAGTACCTCTTTGGGAGTGCTGTTCATGATGCTAATGAACTGTGCTGGTTTGGAAGAGGAACTATGAGTAAGACCAATTTGATCTCTCTCAGCCCAACACCTAGTAAAGTGTCTGGCCGTTCACACCTCTGCAAGTACCTGTCTTTCCTGGTTAAACGCTACAGTAGCTCTCAATGGAGGAGGTGTTTAAGAAGGTGTGTGTGTGTGACTCACTGATGCCGTTGTCACGCAGGTATCCGGCCAGGCCTTGCCTCTGGTACTCTGGGTCATTCTGTCTCTTCCAGGACTGGTACCGTTCACACGACACACCACCGTGCTGAGACTCCCACTAGAGAACACACGGCGACAGAGACAAGAGAGGACAATAGACAGATTAGGCTCCAGCTTCACTCCAAACCCAAATGCTCTTCTGTCACCCTCTCTCACACATGAACAGAGTGGATGTTTGTTACTTACAGGTTTCTTGCATTGTGCACAGAAGCTGTTCCTGCACTGGAAACAGGTGACCTTCAGTTGGTCTCCATCATAGATGAACCCATAGGAGCACTGACAGTAGGAAGGGGAGGGGAGGAATAGTTCATGAACTGTTTTAGATTATACAGTGCATTCGGAAAGTACTCAGACCCCTTCACTTTTTCCACATTTTGTTACGTTACAGCCTTATTCTAAAATGTATTTAATAAAAAAAAATCCTCATCAATCTACACACAACACCACATAATGACAAAGCAAAAACAGGTTTTGGCAAATTTATTAAAAATAAAAACAGAAATACCTTACTTATGTAAATATTCAGACCCTTTGCTATCAGAATCGAAATTGAGCTCAGGTGCATCCTGTTTCCATTGATCATCCTTGAGATGTTTCTACAACTTAATTGGAGTCCACCTGTGGTAAATTCAATTGATTGGACATGATTTGGAAAGGCACATACCTGTCTATATAAGGTCCCACAGTTGACAGTGCATGTCAGAGCAAAAACCAAGCCATGAGGTCGAAGGAATTGTACGTAGAGCTCCGAGACAGGATTGTGTCGAAGCACAGATCTGGGGAAGGGTACCAAAAAATTACTGCAGCATTGGAGGTCTCCAACAACACAGGTTCACGTTCCAACAGGTCACCGACCCTAAGCACACAGCCAAGACAACGCAGGAGTGGCTTCGGGACAAGTCTCTGAGTGTCTTCGAGTGGCCCAGCCAGAGCCCGGACTTGAACCCGATCGAACATCTCTGGAGAGACCTGAAAATAGCTGTGCAGTGACGCTCCGCATCCAACCTGAGAGAGCTTGAGAGGATCTGCAGAGAAGAATGGGAGGAACTCCCCAAATACAGGTGTGCCAAGCTTGTAGCGTCATACCCAAGAAGACTTGAGGCTGTAATCGCTGCCAAAAGGTGCTTCAAGAAAGTACTGAGTAATGTAAATGTAATATTTCCGTTTTTTATTTATTAAAAAATTTGCAAACGTTTATAAAAATGGTTTTTGCTTCGTCATTGTGGGGTATTGTGTAGATTGATGAGGGGAAAAACAATTTAATCCATTTTAGAATAAGGCTGTAACGTAACAAAATGTGGAAAAAGTGAAGGGGTCTGAATACTTTCCGAATGCACTGTATACTGCCATTTCTTAGCTAGTGAAGTGTGATTACTGTGATTTTTTTATGACAGCTTCAATGGGGATTATCAAATTATGTCTGGAAACAAACATATTATAACATACAGTGGGGAGAACAAGTATTTGATACACTGCTGATTTTGCAGGTTTTCCTACTTACAAAGCATGTAGAGGTCTGTAATTTTTATCATAGGTACACTTCAACTGTGAGAGACGGAATCTAAAACAAAAATCCAGAAAATCACATTGTATGATTTTTAAGTAATTAATTTGCATTTTATTGCATGACATAAGTATTTGATACATCAGAAAAGCAGAACTTAATATTTGGTACAGAAACCTTTGTTTGCAATTACAGAGATCATACGTTTCCTGTAGGTCTTGACCAGGTTTGCACACACTGCAGCAGGGATTTTGGCCCACTCCTCCATACAGACCTTCTCCAGATCCTTCAGGTTTCGGGGCTGTCGCTGGGCAATACAGACTTTCAGCTCCCTCCAAAGATTTTCTATTGGGTTCAGGTCTGGAGACTGGCTAGGCCACTCCAGGACCTTGATATGCTTCTTACGGAGCCACTCCTTAGTTGCCCTGGCTGTGTGTTTCGGGTCGTTGTCATGCTGGAAGACCCAGCCACGACCCATCTTCAATGCTCTTACTGAGGGAAGGAGGTTGTTGGCCAAGATCTCGCGATACATGGCCCCATCCATCCTCCCCTCAATACGGTGCAGTCGTCCTCTCCCTTTGCAGAAAAGCATCCCCAAAGAAGGATGTTTCCACCTCCATGCTTCACGGTTGGGATGGTGTTCTTGGGGTTGTACTCAACCTTCTTCTTCCTCCAAACACGGCGAGTGGCGTTTAGACCAAAAAGCTCTATTTTTGTCTCATCAGACCACATGACCTTCTCCCATTACTCCTCTGGATCATCCAGATGGTCATTGGCAAACTTCAGATGGGTCTGGACATGCGCTGGCTTGAGCAGGGGGACCTTGCGTGCGCTGCAGGATTTTAATCCATGACGGCGTAGTGTGTTACTAATGGTTTTCTTTGAGACTGTGGTCCCAGCTCTCTTCAGGTCATTGACCAGGTCCTGCCGTGTAGTTCTGGGCTGATCCCTCACCTTCCTCATGATCATTGATGCCCCACAAGGTGAGATCTTGCATGGAGCCCCAGACCGAGGGTGATTGACTGTCATCTTGAACTTCTTCCATTTTCTAATAATTGCACCAACAGTTGTTGCCTTCTCACCAAGCTGCTTGCCTATTGTCCTGTAGCCCATCCCAGCCTTGTGCAGTCTACAATTTTATCCCTGATGTCCTTACACAGCTCTCTGGTCTTGGCCATTGTGGAGAGGTTGGAGTCTGTTTGAGTGTGTGGACAGGTGTCTTTTATACAGGTAACGAGTTCAAACAGGTGCAGTTAATACAGGTAATGAGTGGAGAACAGCAGGGCTTCTTAAAGATAAACTAACAGGTCTGTGAGAGCTGGAATTCTTACTGGTTGGTAGGTGATCAAATACTTATGTCATGCAATCAAATGCAAATTAATTACTTAAAAATCATACAATGTGATTTTCTGGATTTTTGTTTTAGATTCCGTCTCTCACAGTTGAAGTGTACCTATGATAAAATTACAGACCTCTACATGCTTTGTAAGTAGGAAAACCTGCAAAATCGGCAGTGTATCAAATACTTGTTCTCCCCACTGTATTTGTACACATAGGAAATATAAACTACAAAACCCGCTCAAGGATATTATGTGATTAGAACTCACATGACTACACCAGAGGAACTTGGGGTCCTTGATGAGGGCTTGTTCAGTCAATTTCTTATGAAACAGTTCATACACCTCCGGCTCCAGACACTCCCGCAGCTGCACGCACAGGAAAATATGATTACAGGTGTTACCATCATACACAATATCACACACACAGAGAAAACCAATCTATGGTCTCGTGAGACTACTCTGACACCACCACCAACACCTGCTTTTTGAAGGGAGAGAAGCCTCTGGAATAGTGTCTTTTCTCTCTGTTTCTTCTCTCTTCAAAGAGAGAATCTGAGGGAGATTTTGTGTGAGGTTGTTCTCTGTGTGATGTACTACCTGGATGTCCAGGGTGGAGAAGTAGCTGTTGAGGTGTTCGGGGTCGTTGATGTCAGGCTCCCAGCAGACGGGACACACCATGTCTCTGATGTGCTTGTCTCTCACTGCGATAGTGAAGTGCTGCTGGAAACAGCCACAGCACACCGAGCACTGACAGGAGGTCAGAGACTGCATCTGAAACAGGGAAGGAGAGAGAAGAGAGAAAGGAGTAGGAGAGTTGGGGGTTAGATACGGCAAAATCAAAGATAAGCTTGTGCTGTGACATGCACACAGACGCACACACACTTGACTTGAGAGTACCTTGCTGTGGGGAAAGTCTGACAGGCAGATGGGGCACTCTTTGGCTAGCACCCGGCGGATGAAGTCTCGGTCATGTGACTCGCGTACGGCCTGTACCACGTCGTCCAGGGAGTAGGGGGCGGTGCGCTCCTGGAGCAGGGACAGGGCCAGTTCACAGCGGCCCCAGCTGGGTAGGTCATAGACCGCCAGCAGCCTCCGGCACACATGCTGGCCCCAGGGGGAAGAGGGAGGGAGTGGAGGGGGGTTAGAGTGAGAGGAGAGAGAGATCAGACCAGTTTAGTGGACAAACTGATACAGAGGAATGAGGAAAGGAGAGATATGCCACACACAAAAGTAACGCTTATCCCTGCAAAACATCAATGTACATGAGACATCAAGCAATTGTCAGATGATTGAAGTACATGTGTGATCTGTGGACCTTACTAATGGTGGTAGTTGTAAGCACATTATCATCAATATAGCTATTCTATGTTCAGCTAAATGTATGGGCAGAATAAAGCACATAATACAGTTCAGAGCCCCAGTGTCCCACCTGTTTGTCGGGGTGGTTGATGTCGATAGGTGGCTCGGGTTGGTCGCTCCACATGCGTTGGTGGAAGGGCTCCATGAGGGGTCGCTGCAGCAGAGACAGAGCCCCCCGCACCTCTCCCTCGCTCTGCCTCAGAACCTCCTGACACCGCGCCTCGTCAGTGAACCCCAGAGAACACAGCTCCTTTACCTGCATATGAGAGACCAAACCCTTCTTTGAGTGTTCAAAGGCTAATCTCCTACATATAGGGCCAATTTCCCAGACCAAGATTAAGCCTAATTCGGGACTCAAAATATAATAATAATATAATAGAGAATCATAATAGAGAATCTTAATTGAAAGTGTGTTTTATCAAGACTTAATCTAGGTCTGGGAAACCGGCACATAGCTGTCACCAAAGGGGACAAAAGTGACTGTACAACTGACCTTAGATCAGTTCTTAGTGGGCAATGGACTTTCTGACCTGTCTCTCACCTTAGCGTGTCTGTCTCTGAGACCCTGTCTCGCTGCTCTCTCAGTGTCTCCCCCTGCAGACAGCCAGGCCAACTTGGCCTCAGCCCTGGACAGGGTCACCCCCCCCCCTCTGGGCTGCTCTTCCTCCACACCTGTATCCTCTGCAGTACCACTACCATTCTGGTTCTGTCCTGTCTTCAGGAGTGCTGCTCGAGACGAAGTGGCCGTGGCACAGATCTGATCGAGCAGGTGAGGTAGCTCCGCTTTGAGCCAATCACAGGGGAGGGTGTTTCCATTTCCAGAGACGCGCATGCCTGTGTACACCTCCTCTGGACTCACTCCTTTCTTCTCTCCATCCTGACAGAGAGAGAGAGAGAGAGAGAGAGAGAGAGAGAGAGAGAGAGAGAGAGAGAGAGAGAGAGAGAGAGAGAGAGAGAGAGAGAGAGAGAGAGAGAGACAGGGAGAAAGAGGGAGGTGGAAAGACAGAGGGGAAGATAGAGAAAGAGTTAACAGAGACAGGAAAAGAGAGAGAAATAAAGAAATCAATCTGTCATACATATTCACTAGGCCTCAGCTGCTGCTACTCACCACACTGTATGAATAAGTAAGAGGATGCTAGCTTATTTTCACACATCGTTTGTTTTCTGAAATCTGTAGACTGTTGTTTTAATAGTACTGCAACCAAATTGCCCAGCAATGGTACAAATAAAGACTTTTCTGAATCATAATCTTAAAATTTGCTAATAGCTTGTAATATTACAAGTAGTGGGGTAATGGGATTACACACCATATTATAGATAAAACAGAAATCCTTCACTCACTCTAATAAGCTGGATAAGCTTTAGGCCCTCCTCCCTAATCCGTTTCTGTCTCCTCAAATCAGGGTCCTCCATGGGCGGGTCTTTGGGTTTGACGGACAGCACAGGGACCCTTCTGACCTGGGACGGAGGGTGGAGCTTGACTCGCATTTTGGCGGGCTCGGGGCGGGGGAGGTCACACATCTCACACACTGACGCTGGAGTGTAATTGACGTAAGTACAGAACTGACACACCCACTGCAAAAAAAACAATAGAGGATAGGAAAAGAAGAGATCATTGGCATGAGCTTAGAGACTCAGAGGAATAGAGGAACAACATCAACTGTAATACATGGTGATAAAGGCACAATCTGAAACTTTCATTTCAACTCAAATGTGCTGCTTCTGCATTGACTTTAGTTTACCTGGCTGTCTGGGTCTCCTGGCATACCCAGTACTGGAGCAGAAGGCCGGTTGGGTGTAGGAGGGGGGCGTGTGGGGGTTGCAGGAGGCTTGGTGGCCAGGCGGGGGCGCTCACACACCTCACACAGGATACTACTGCCTGCATTCACCACTGTACAGCTTTTACACTGCCACTCTGATGACATACAGTACCAGTCAAAGGTTTGGGCACACCTACTCATTTTCTTTATTTTTACTATTTTCTACATTGTATAATAATAGTGAAGAAATCAAAACTATGAAATAACACATATGGAATCATGTGGTAACCAAAAAAGTGTTAAACAAATCAAAACATATTTTATATTTGAGATTCTTCAAAGTAGCCACCCTTTGCCTTGATGACAGCTTTGCACACTCTTGGCATTCTCTCAACCAGCTTCAGGAGATAGTCACCTGGAATGGATTTCAATTAACAGGTGTGCCTTGTTAAAAGTTAATTTGTGGAATTTGAGCCAGTCAGTTGTGTTTGTGACAAGGTAGGGGTGGTATACAGAAGATAGCCCTATTTGGTAAAAGACCAAGTCCATATTATGGCAAGAACAGCTCAAATAAGCAAAGAGAAACGACAGTCCATCATTACTTTAAGACATGAAGGTCAGTAAATCCGGAAAATTTCTAAAACTTTGAAAGTTTCTTCAAGTGCAGTCGCAAAAAACGTTAAGCGCTATGATGAAACTGGCTCTCATGAGGACCGCCACAGGAATGGAAGACCCAGAGTTACCTCTGCTGCAGAGCATAAGTTCATTAGAGTTAACTGCACCTCAGATAGCAGCCCAAATAAATGCGTCACAGAGTTCAAGTAACAGACACATCTCAACATCAATTGTTTAGAGGGGACTGTGTGAGTCAGGCCTTCATGGTCGAATTGCTGCAAAGAAACCACAACTAAAGGACACCAATAAGAAGAGGAGACTTGCTTGGGCCAAGAAACACGAGCAATGGACATTAGACCGGTGGAAATCTGTCCTTTGGTCTGATGAGTCCAAACCGCTGTGTCTTTGTGAGACGCAGAGTAGGTGAATGGATGATCTCCGCATGTGTGGTTCCCACCGTGAAGCATAGAGAAGGAGGTGTTATGGTGTGGGGGTGCTTTGCTGGTGACACTGTCTGTGATTTATTTAGAATTCAAGGCACACTTAACCAGCATGGCTACCACAGCATTCTGCAGCGATACGCCATCCCATCTGGTTTGCGCTTAGTGGGACTATCATTTGTTTTTCAACAGGACAAAGACCCAACACACCTACCAGGCTGTGTAAGGGCTATTTGACCAAGAAGGATAGTGATGGAGTGCTGCATCAGATGACCTGGCCTCCACAATCACCCAACCTTAACCCAATTGAGATGGTTTAGGATGAGTTGGACCACAGAGTGAAGGAAAAGTAGCCAACAAGTGCTCAGCATATGTGGGAACTCCTTCAAGACTGTTGGAAAAGCATTCCTCATGAAGCTGGTTGAGAGAATGCCAAGAGTGTGCAAAGCTGTCATCAAGGCAAAGGGTGGCTACTTTGAAGAATCAATAAAATATATTTTGATTTGTTTAACACTTTTTTGGTTACTACATGATTCCATTATTCACTATTACTCTACAATTTAGAAAATAACCCTTGAATGAGTAGGTGTTCTAAAACTTTTGACTGGTACTGTACATAGTGAAAATACACTCAACACAGGGCTATGGAAGAGGTGAATATTAACTCAACAACAGCTTATATATATCAAGAGTGTCTTTCCATTTTCAGACAATAAACAAGTATACCAAGTAAACAAAGAAATACAGAGGAGTGAGACTGATGGACTGCAAAAAAGGCAAACCACCACTATTAAAACAAACATTGTTGGTTGGGTGTGTGTGTATACTGACCAGTGATGGTGGAGGGCTGTGGGAACTCATTCTTAGCAGAACCAGAGGAGGCCAGGCGTGGTCTCTCACACGTTTCACACAGTATGTCCTGGTTGGAGTTGACCCTGTTGCAATGGGTACAGTGCCATGACGGGAGGGAGCTGCTGGGAGAGAGAGAGAGAGGAAGTGAATCTAGTGCCCAACACACAGGGAGTTGCATTTCAGCAATAATCACCACCTTTGAAAATGTATAGATTCTCTCCCTTTACTGTCGGTTTCTATTTTGTCATGTCTTACCTGTGGTTCTTTCGCATTTTAGAGGATGTCACGACAGTCCTGTGGTGATTGGCTCGTTCTGCAGAAAAGTGGTACAGTCTATCACATTCCGTACACAGCCATTGGACACAAGAGTTACAGTGGGCAGCCACTGGAAATATAGCACAGATAGTGCAGTTGTCTGCAAAGGGGAAGAGAAACAAGGAAAGTTGAAATGCAAGTTTCAGATGTAAGAAATACACACACACACACCTAACCTGTGTGTCTGGTAGAGATGGAGGTGGAAGTTGAGGCGTTAGCGGTCCGTACTGGAAGAAAGGCACTAGTGGAAGACTGAGACAGGGAGGCCAGAGACATGTATAGGGGCTGGCTCTCTCTCAGGCTGGAGGGAATAGCTACCGCATCAGAAATGGGTCCGAAGTCATCCTGGAATCATAATTGAGAATTCCGTCATCTGATGGTGGTGGGCACTACCAGGCACAAAACCACACAAATATAAAAACTGCCTGAAGTAGAGAAAGGCAATTAGGGTGAACAACAACAAAAACACATGGAGAAGGCAGAGAGGAAGAGGACAGGTTATGGGAGAAAGGAAAAATACCTTTTGGTTCAGTGATGGGATAATTCTCTCAAAGAACTCTGGGTGGGGGTGAGCCTCCTGTGAAAACATCAACAACGACTCAGTAGTACAACTGATTTTAGAAACCTCTGAAATATTTCAGAATACCTGCCATTGGTCCAGACCTTGATGAGCATGTCCAGTTCCATGCGTAGACTCATGACCTCCAAGGTGACCGCTGCGACCTTCTCAATGTCAGGCTCCACGACCTCATCAGGGAAACTCAGGCCATCTGGCTGCTGATTGGAGTAACCATAGAGACCGAGCACTGCCCTTCCTCCCTGGGGTAGAACAGAGGAGAGGAAAGGAGATAGAGGGTTTTATGCAATACTGTTGGCATAACGTTAGTGTTGTGGTGTGTCCACAATTAACTTGATCAACAAGGTAGTACGCTATAGACTCATATTGAACTAGGCCTATATCAACATAATGCCAATAAGTTTATAGTGACAAGACAGTAGACTACATATAATCACCCAGAATCTCACCTGCCTGTATTGAAGAGCCTCACCTGAATTGCATCTACTGTTGCTCTGAAGACAGGGTTGTTGTGCTTGACAGTGCGCCAGTACTTGGGCCTACTGGAGCTGGTGAGGTTACAGCCATACTTCTCCAGAATGTTCAGTGCTGTGGACAATCTCTGCAGAGAACCTATGGTCTGGCAGGAGAGAGGACAAAGACAAAAAGGGTTGATACAGAAAGGTTGAGAAAAGAATAGACAGTGAACAGAAATATGAGCACAATGCATAGAGAGAGAGAGAGAGAGGAAAAAGGAGTTCTGTATTCCAAGATGCAGACTAAGTGAAGGTGATTATGTAATTGTGATATGGACATTGTTTACTGTTTCAAGCACACGCAAACTAACTCACTTCTTGCCTGTTGTTATTGACGCCGTTTTCAATTATCATGGTCTCAGCAGCAATGTAGCAGTATTTGACTGACGGTGGTAAGGGTATGTTGGCCATGGCTGATATTCCTGCACGGACCTCCAGCACTGAGCCAGTGGAATACAGACAGGCTTCCGCATGGCATCGTATGTCCTCTAGCTGGTCTGAAAGGGTACTAGCCATCCTGGAAAAGAGACATCAGTCATCATCATCATCATACAGATCAGATAGCAAATCATTGAGGGCACTGCCACACCACAGGCATTGATGAGCAGGGGCAAGATGCTTGCCTTACTGACATCCATTCATAAGAGGTTACCTGTAAGTCCTGACAGTGTGTGGCTGTTCAATCACAAGGCTGTCATATCAAGGGACACACACAGCCACCAGATACTTTTACTGCATCTGCAGTACTCTATATTTCCAACAACACAATTACTAGTTAACTAAAAGTTGAAGTGGAAATTATATCTCTACCTATGTTGAAATACTGTCATATAAGCTATCTGCTTACCCAGTGTTTTCGTTCAACTGTCTGCAGCGACAGCCTTTGAATCACGATGAGATGGCAATTAATTCAAAAGCAGGTGTTTTCAAAACACCATGTCACGCACCTCAATACAGATTTGTCCGATAAAAACATGTATTTTTTATTTTTTATATCAATTTAAATTCTAAAACAAGTAGTAAAATCTAGCTACAGTACTAGCTATGAACGTAAACAACCGCGTGAGAAAAATGCCGTATTCTGCTTTGCGCAAAGAAACGAACCCCCATTCATCGCCATTGTGTGTCAAAACCTCATTCTCAAACAGAGATCATGGGAGCCAATATGGCTTGGACTGAGGAAACGTCGCAAAGCTGCAGTGCAGTACATTGATTTGTGAGGTTTTGGTGTCACCTTGTGGTGAAAATGACTAATTGCCTAATTTGCCTGTCAGCTCACCTGAAAGATATTCAGTTGATTACACACTAATTGGTGTGGGGCGCGCGTGTTGCACGCGCTGTAGGTGATAAATTTGATGGAGAGGGTGAAGAAAGGGAGAGTTTTGTGTTGCGCTCGTTTCGTGCACGCCTACGGTCTCACGGTTTTCTTTTGACCATCACGGTCACATGTAAGTCCTTATACATTTTTGCCCACATCATTTTCATGTGTATAACTCTAATGTAATTGCATAATACTTATTTATTGTTGTTCATGGATGCAGTCAGATCGTTGCCTTATTTGAATGGAAGGCATAGCCTCTGCAGCACACTACCAGTTTCAACACAGATTTGAGATCTAATGATGTGTGTAGGTTTACGTTAACTTTTTGTTTCCTCTTTGCACTAGAATTGCGGTGTATAATATCCTGTGCTGTATCTTTCAGCTCTGACCAAGCAATGGAAGGTGATTGTTATTTAATAGGTTACTGGTTTTGATCAACTGAAACATCTCAACTGATTTATTTTCTCTTTGTTTCAGATATGAATAACCCTTCACACTCAATGGGAGTTGGGCAACCGCACCATCCAACTAATCACACAAGACCATTTTTCTATGTTCAACCACCAACTCAACCTTATTATAATATGTATCAATGGAATATCAATCCATATGGCCAGTATGGTCTTCCCCCATCAGGTACAATGGCACAAATTTTTCTAAAATCTTTAAAATATCAAATCATTTGTTTATTTAAAATGATAATTCTTATACAACTTATAATATTGTCTTTGAATTTCCAGTTATTCCTTATGGACGTCCATATATGGCTCCATATCCATATACCGGTATGCAGTATCCGGGATATGTGGTTCCACAGGCTCCGATGCAGCCTGTTGATTACAGTAGGGTGTTTAACCCCCACATCTCCTCTGCGACCTACGACGTCCAGTTCCGCCACCACTACCAGCAACAGGCCTGCGTTCGGCGAGAGACCGCTTGTTCTGAGGTTCAAACCGATCCGAGCGATGCGGTCCACAAGCTGATCGACAGCCTGGACAGGCTCAGAACCAGTGAGAAGCCACCTGAAGACAGTGAGCTAAACCCTAACTCTGACCTAGGGTCCCTAACCTCTGAGACAACCATCTCTTCCTGTGGGATGACCATATCTTCCTCTGGGAATGTGGAAGACTTCTGTGGGCAGGGTAGGGAACTGGAGTCGAGACCTCTGACACAAAGACAACCCCAGCAGGGTAAGGGGAGGCAGAGGGACTCTCCTCTGGCCAGCAGCGTATTCAGTGACTCTACTATTACAGCGGCGGTCTATGATGCAGAGTCCAGCCACAGCTGCCTGGAGGAGCTGGCCAAGCAGGATTGCTGGTCCCTGGGCTCTGGGGTGCTGCCCATTGACAGCTCTTCTGTCCATGAGGAGGAGAGTCTGGAGGAGTCTAGGCAGCAATACCACTCTGAGAAGCTCTGCCTGAATACTGAAGAACCTGGGATAGAGGGACAGTCCAGAGAACATCCTGATCCTCCAGAGGATGTAAAACATGACTCTGGGGCCTTGACACAGAGCCTTGAACTGAATGGGGCTTCACATGACCACCACTCACTTGACTGTCTGGCTCCAGAACAAGATTGTGACAAGGTTCTGATTCCATCCCACTTGGCCTCTGAGCTGAAGGACCCTATAGAAAGTCTAGCCTCCAAGGCAGAGGACTTGCCTTACAGAATCCTCAGGCTGCCCTGTGATCAGGTAACAGGCATGCTGCTGGACGATCCACTGTGGTATGTTGACTCTGCTGCATCCAGTCTGGTGCCTCCACCACAAAGCAATCTGTCCACGCTTGGGAGTGCCTACTACTATAGCTACTACCCACAAGTGGCCCAGGAGCGCCAGAGTGTCCTCAGCCCATCCATAGACGAGCTCTCCTCCAGAGACGAGCTCTTCTCCACTGATGTCGAAGACGTTGACCTGATCTCTGGTGGTCACGTGTACATGGGAGGCGGCAAGCTAGCCGAGGCAGCCTGCGACACACCTGATCTCTCTGGTAAGGAAAACGTACCAACTCAATCCAACCCAGTAGAGGAAAGTTTTGCAGCTTGTTCTAAGACCTGTCTCAGCTGTGGCCTGAGCCTGGCGGAAGAGTCGAGGCCAGGCAAATCAGAAGGGCCATGCCATTATGTGGAGCGGGAGGAAACGGAGGAAGATGACTACAATGAGGAGGGAGGGGAGCTGTTGAGCGCCTGTCAGGTGCCTGTGAAGAAACCACATCACCCTAACAGAGTGCCTCAGCCCTCTGCTCGCCAGTTTCCTAACAGTAAACCAAAGAGGGGCTGCTGTGAGGACCACCATGAAGTAATCTGTCATGAAGAGCAGGAGCACGGTTACCTCTGGAGTTTTGACTGCTGTGAGGACCACAAAGCTACTGTCAAAGCTGACAAGCATAAAGGGAAAGGAGGACCAAGAAATGCCCCATGTAGGCCTTATAATGGTAAGATTCTTTCAATTTCTTGACATAGTCTGAAAATGTCCCTTTCTAAATAGTGTTTTACTTTTAATCCTCCGATGTCATTCATTACAAATGTTAGTTTGCGATTGTGAAATTGTCATGTTTCACAGAGAAACCTTGGAGAGAGGGCACTGTGGGATCAGACCAAGATAGTTGGGGGAGTTCTGGTGCCAAATATAAGCCAAAGTCTTGGAGACCGTACAATGGGTCACAAGAACAAAGTGAGTTTCCTTTTCAAACTTCTGAGTTACCCATCGCATTGATCAGTTCTCTACTTTTCACTAGTCATTCACTGTTTGACCTGGCCATTATTGGCGTCCCATCCCGTGCTTCCCTCCCTCTCTGTATCCTTCAGTGAGACCCCCACGCAGAAGGCCGTTTGTTCAGCAGAGGCCCAGAAGGACTGACTATGACGATTACGAAGAATCAGAGTTCTCTCGCTGCCAGAGGGGCAGAGGTAAGGGTTGTTGCAGTATTATAGATGCTGCTACTTTTTTGTCACATTTCAAAATTATCACACATTAACCTTTTTTTCAATTTTTTTTCAGGGACCACAAAGAGAAGAGGCACAAGATATTAGCCTATTTAAGAATTGCACCGCCCTAATATATTTCTTCTAAATGTATTACCTAATATATAAATTCACTTGCACTATGAAATGCACACAAAACACATTGTAATAAATTAATAGACACTCGTAATGTTTGTATAAGTGTTAAAAAAATAATCTAAGGCAGCAGTTCAACAACTTGCTGCACAGTAGATGCCTGCATTTCCAGTGCTCGATGATGGTAGCCATGTTGGACGCTGTGTGTTCATCCTAATCACAGCCTGGGCTGCAGCCTCACTGGACTGTACTGTGACGCTAACCCCATGTTGACCTGCAGACCAGACTGGACCTGGGAGGTGTAGGTTCAGTCTACTCTGCAGCTTTTAAACTATTTTCAGTGTCAAAGTGTCGCTCACTGAGGATGAAGCTCCGGTAATAAGATGTATCAAGCAGTGGAAATGCAGTGGCATGGAGAGGAGATGTAAAAAAGTATTGGTTGGCTCTAAGAGCTTGTCTAAATGTGTCTGGTTTTATTATTGTGCAGATATTTTAAACATCGCAGTGTAATGTTGACAAACTGACATCTACTTGTCTGCACAGTGTTGTTGTGTCATTAAAATCCTTGCATTGCACTTTAAAAACCTGTTTTTTTTTTTATTACATTAAGAGCAACATTCATCAACATGAAGAATAGTTTGATGCCTCAGTTTCATAAAAGCTGTGGTTAGTGCTCTACAAATTGGATCAGTAATAGACATTTGTTAGGCCCAAAATGTCATTCTTGATGGATAGCCTTGCATTATAGACTTCATGGAAGAGCAGAACACTTCACATCTGTACTACTTGAACAGCCTTTATCATTGGCATGTCTATGACTTGTTCAAGGTCATCTAGAAGCCAGCACAGATTTGTGATCGCCACAGGAGTTCTTTATTCTGACCTTCAATTCTGACTATTTTAGGGGTGACATGTTGGATGACTACCACTAACCTCACACCTCCTGAAGTTTCACCTTGATCATTGGATAATGGAGACAGTAGACCCAACTATACTGAACAAAAATATAAATGCAACGTAGTGTTGGTCTGTTACATGAGCTGAAATAAAAGATCCCAGACATTTTTCATGTGCACAAAAAGCTCCTTTGCCAAGATAATCCATCCACCTGACAGGTGTGGCATATAAAGAACCTGATTAAACGGCATGATCATTGCACAGGTGCACCTTGTGCTGGGGACAAAACCCCACTAAAATATGCAGTTCTGTCACATAACACAATGCCAAAGATGTTTTGAGGGAGTGTCCTCCAGAGCTGTTGCCAGAGAATTGAATGTTAATTTGTTGAACATAAGCCTCCAACGTGGTTTTCGAGAATTTGGTAGTATGTCCAAGAGGCCTCACTTCCGCAGATCACGTCTAACCATGCCAGCCCAGGACCTCCAGATCCGACTTCTTTACCTGCGGGATCGTCTGAGACCAGCCACCCGGGCAGCTGAATAAACTACCAAATAATTTCTGCGCAAACTGCCAGAAACCGTCTCAGGGAAGCTCAACTGTGTCCTCGTCATCCTTATCAGGTTCTTGACCTGACTGGAGTTTGGCGTCGTGACCGACTTCATTGGGCAAATGCTCATCTACGATGGCCACTGGCACGCTGGAGAAGTGTGCTCTTAATGGTGGAATCCCGGTTTCAACTGTACCGGGCAGATGGCAGACAGCGTGTATGGCGTTGTGTGGGTGAGTGGTTTGCTGATGTCAATGTTGTGAACAGAGTGCCCCATGGTGGCAGTGGGGTTATGGTACACTCTAAAAATTAGGGGTTCAACAAGGGTTCTTCTAAGATCTTCAAAGTTCTTTGAAGAACCTTAGGATTCTTGGCACTGAAAATTGCACACAAAAGGTTCTTCCAAGAACCCAATAGGAGGTGGGGTTCATCGAGGAACCTCCTTAGTTGGTGGGGGTTCTTGCAGGAACCTAACTGCCCAACTGAAACATTTGGATTTGAATTTGAAAGGACAGCAGGTGTAGGCACTTAACTGAAAAATGTAAAGATCTCCTCGATTTAATGTAAGGTTTGTCCCTTATATGATCTAAATGTATATTGTTTTCTGATGACACTATCCATCTTTTCATATTTGTGCAAATCTTTCTAAAACAGAAAATGGACAATTCAATGGATAACAATCAACAAAGAGGTAAGAATATGTACTGTAAGCTATAAGAATATGTTGAAGGCTAACTGTATTGGGTGCAGATTACTGAACTGCTCACTTTGTGTCTGTAGGTATACAGACGAGGAGGCATACAAAGGTATGTCAATTGGTATTGGTATGTTATGCAGATCAGATGTACCATCCTCCTCCCTTACCTCTTCAATTAATATCACATAGGCCTCTACATTATGGACAAGGTGTGTGTATGAAAACCATTATTAAAACAGTTTCTTTCATTCACATTTACCATAAAAACCAAGGTATGAATACTGTTGTGTGCATGTTTTGTTAATCGTCTGTATAACTACAATTTTTGGGATTCAGAGACTTCACCCTCCCTACACCTCTGATGAATATAACAGGAAACCTGTTCGATCACCATGCACTGCAAAATCATTCTGGCTATGGATATGGAGAACATCAACACATTAACATCAACATGCCAGAGGATATACTCATTGGACTTGGGACTCTGCTTGGAGCTTTTCCTCATATTTTGATTTTTTTATTCTGCTTTGCCACTAAAATCATAATAAAGACTGACAACTAAAATATTGTGTTATTGTTAAGTGTATTATTATTAATAATACTAATAATAATAATAATAATAGGGGGGGGGGGTAGTTCAAAAAATTTACCCCAAAAGGTTATTCAAAAGGTTATTTGAGGATCCATTAAAAGGGGTTATTTGAAGAAACCTTTTAAAGAGTTATTCGAAGAATTTATAGGGGTTCCCCCACGGTTTCAATTTGAAGAACCCCTAAAGGATCCTCCAGGAACCTTTACTTTTTAGAGTGTATGGGCAGGCATAAGGTATGGACAACAAACACAATTGCATTTTATCGATGGCAATTTGAATGCACAGAGATACAGTGACGAGATCCTGAGGCCCATTGTCGTGCCATGCATCCGCCGTCATCACCTCATATTTCAGCATGATAATGCACGGCCCCATGTCACAAGGATCTGTACACAATTCTTCTAAACAGCTTCTACCCCCAAGCCATAAGACTCCTGAACATCTAATCAAATGGCTACCCAGACTATTTGCATTGCTCCCCCGCCCTTTTTACGCTGCTGCTATCTATGCATAGTCACTTTAATAACTCTACCTACATGTGCATATTACCTCAATTACCTCGACTAACCGGTGCCCCCGCACATTGACTCGGTACCGGTACCCCCTGTATATAGCCTCGCTATTTTTATTTTACTGCTGCACTTTAATTATTTGTTACTTTAAAAAACATTGTTGTTAAGGGCTTGTAAGTAAGCATTTCACTGTAAGGTTTACACATGTTGTATTTGGCGCATGTGACAAATACAATTTGATTTGATTTGATTTGACAATTCCTGGAAGCTGAAAATGTCCCAGTTCTTCCATGGCCTGCATACTCACCAGACGTCACCCATTGAGCATGTCTGGGATACTCTGCATCGATGTGTACTACAGCGTGTTCCAGTTCCCGTCAATATCCAGCAACTTTGCACAACCATTGAAGAGAAGTGGGACAACATTCCACAGACCACAATCAACAGCCTGATCAACTTTATGTGAAGGAGATGTGTCGCTCTGCATGAGGCAAATAATGGTCACACCAGATACTGACTGGTTTTCTGATCCACGCCCCTACCTTTTTCTTTAAAGGTATCTATGACCAACAGATGCATATCTGTATTCCCAGTCATGTGGAACCCATAAATTAGGCCCAAATGAATTTATTTCAATTGACTGATTTCCTTATATGAACTGTAACTCAGTACAATCTTTGAAATTGTTGCATGTTGCGTTTATATTTTTGTTCAGTGTATTTTGTAAAGCAAATGAAAGTTGGGTTTAAAAACTACAGTATAAAAATCTGGCTTATTATTGAATGACTCAGCTTTAATCAAATGTTTTAGCACACGAGCAAGAACTGTTCAAATACATGACACAATTTAGTTTGGATGGGCGCACTGTGAGGGCAATACTTCAGGTATCGGATAGCTGTGTAAGATGTAGATTAATAAGCAATGTGTGAAATAGGGTTTGATTTTAGACTGGGCACTCCTTTAAAACATGTGAGCTTGTTTTGTCACAATGCACAAAAAATGACTGAATCAGCATGGAAGTAAAGCTGACAGAGTCATATGCACACTCGACCCCACTGAAACATCCCAGCTTGCAAAACAAGTGCACCTTTTGTAGTGTGATCTCTAGGGTTGCAAAGGGAGGGTATACTGGAAACTTTCTAAGTTTACCAGTAAACTACCAAATGTACACTACCGTTCAAAAGTTTGGGGTCACTTAGAAATGTCCTTGTTTTCGAAATAAAAGCAAATGTTTTGTCCATTAAAAGAACATAAAATTGATCAGAAATACAGTGTAGACATTGTTAATGTTGTAAATGGCTATTGTAGCTGAAAACGGCTGATTTTTTATGGAATATCTACATAGGCGTACAGAGGCCCATTATCAGCAACCATCAGTCCTGTGTTCCAATGGCACATTGTGTTTGCTAATCCAAGTTTATCATTTTAAAAGGCTAATTGATCATTAGAAAACCCTTATTATGTTAGGACAGCTGAAAACTGTTGTGCTGATTAAAGAAGCAATACAACTGGCCTTCTTGAGACTAGTTGAGTATCTGGAGCATCAGCAATTGTGGGTTCGATTACAGGCTCAAAATGTCCAGAAACAAAGAACTTTCTTCTGAAACTCGTCAGTCTATTCTTGTTCTGAGAAATTAAGGCTATTCCATGCGAGAAATTGCCAAGAAACTGAAGGTCTCGTACAATGCTGTGTACTACTCCCTTCACAGAACAGCGCAAACTGTCTCTAACCAGAATAGAAAGAGGAGTGGGAGGCCCCGGTGCACAACTGAGCAAGAGGACAAATACATTAGTGTCTAGTTTGAGAAACGGATGCCTCACAGGTCCTCAACTGACAGCTTCATTAAATAGTACCCGCAAAACACCAGTCTCAAGGTCAACAGTGAAGAGGCGACTCCGGGATGCTGACCTTCTAGGCAGAGTAGCAAAGAAAAAGCCATATCTCAGACTGGCCAATAAAAAGGAAAGATTAAGATAGGCATTCTGAGATATGGCTTTTTCTTTGCTACTCTGCCTAGAAGGTCAGCATCCCGGAGTCGCCTCTTCACTGTTGACCTTGAGACTGGTGTTTCAGCATGAATTGTTTTTACACACTTCTATTTATTTTACTATGTCAATATGTGTTCGTTGTAAATGTTTTGGCCCCAAACTGGTGGGAGTTGTGGGAAAAAGTCAATAATTAGAAGAGTTGCATAGTTAATTGAAAATAATGCCATTGTTGATTATATGCTTGTTTCATTAATTAGGCTATTTTCTCTTGAACCATATGATATAATCCCCCTCAAACTCAACTCTGGACCTCGAAGCCAGTTCCACTGCATTTTTTCATTGCTCCCCTCTTATCAGGGACTGATTTAGACCTGGGACACCAGGTGGATGCAATTAACTATCAGGTAGAACAGAAAACCAGCAGGCTCCGGACCTCGTAGGGTAAGAGTGGAATACCCCTGGATAACCACTAGAAACTCAAGGACAATATGGACACAGATATAAAAATATATATATATATGAATACATTTTGTAAAAAGTTATTCAAGTATAAATTACATTTTAGTAGATGCTCTTATGCAGAGCGACTTACAGTTAGTGAGTGCATAAATTTTTCATACTGGCCCCCCGTGGGAATCGAACCCACAACCCTGGCGTTGCAAGCGCCATGCTCTACCAACTGAGCTACAGGAGGCTACCTGTTAATTACCTAAATTACAGAATATCCCAGTAACTTTGGTAAATTACCGGTAGCTTTGGTAAGACAATCCAAATAAGGAACTGTTTTTCAAACTGAAACCACACCTCTCGTAATCATCTACTTAATGCCAGGTGTGTCTAGCTTCCACTTTCAATCAGTGTGTTGTTAGGCAATGCAAGTTGATCTATTGTTTTGGTGGTGATCAGGTAATTTCTTACATTTGTGTGCTCTGTATTGGAGTTATTTTCTTATTCAGGGTAATTGGAGTTAATAGGTGTAGTGTCACCATTTGTAAGATGCACATATTATTATTCAATGGTATTAATTCATAACCTGAATTCACTCAATCACATTGTCAGACTTGTCATTGATTCAATCTATTTCCTTATAGTTACCATCTCTTTCTTTGCCTAGTTTAGTTATGGCAGCAAAGCCGTTTGAAAATGGGCCGCATGGTCAACATGCGGTAGCAAGGCCCCTTGGGCCACGCCAGCCAGTTCCTCAGCCCAACCCTGATACACGGCACCCAGTGCATGGACCCCAAGGACCAGGGCCCCATCTGACCGAACATCCGCCCCATCGTGTGCACCAGCCTCGACCCTACTTCTACGTGCAGCCTATGCAGCCCCCTCCTCCTCCCCTCTACCACTACCAGTGGCCAATGCCCTACAACCCATACTCTGGCTTTCCAGGGATGGGTAGGCTTTAATCCTTTTTCATACTCCGTAGTATAAATGCTATGAAATATTCAGTCTGGGAGTATAAAGTAATATTTATGATAAGTAAACAAAATGTTTGTTCTGATTAATCTACCACATTGTACAAACTCAAATGTACACCTCCATAATTTGAGGAACCCCATGTTTTTCAGCTGTCTATTTTTATTTAAACAATTGATTCAATACAATCCAATGATACTCATCCCTTCTAATTCTGTCTTTAGGTTACGGTATGCCGGGTATGGTTATGCCACCGTTCCCTCCCCACCCATACATGGAGGCTCCGGGTTATTTTCTTCCACATGCCCAGCTGCACCCTGCGGAGTACAGACGATACCAGTTCCCTCCTGCTGCCATGGTCTACCAGAACCACAACAATAGGTCGAGAACGTTTTACCAGAACACCACACCCAGAGAGACTGTCAACTCCGAAGTACAGACTGAACCACCACCTGAAGCGGAGAAAGACTGTGCCCCCTCGGCTGCCCCTCTGGCTGGGTCAGACTCTGGAAGAGGCACCGACTCTACCAACTCCACCACCCCATCCTCGCCAAGCTCCAATGCAGAGAAACAGAGATGCCCAGAGGAAGAACCTAATTCCCCCATTGCCTCCAAAACTGGATTCCAGGGGATGGTGAGGGGCCAGGGTACTGGCACAGACCCACCTGCAGGAACGAAGACCATCCACTCACGTAGGACCTCCATAGAGGAACTGGGGAAGCCCGTCCATGGTGGAGGCCACCTAGTGCATCATGTGTGGTCAGTCTGCTCTGCCGATGGCATGGTCCCGATGTGTAGCTCCTCTGACCAGGAGGATGAGGTTATCATGGCTGAGAGGCGTGTGTCCTCCTCCTTCCCAGATGTGTTGATGGGTGGAGGGTCGCCATCTTCCAAAATGGAGGGGGCACCCAAATGTGGTCAGACTCTCACCCAAGAAATGACACATGAGAATACCACAGAGGGCTACAACGTGGTCATGACAGGAAGCTGTGAAGGCTTTCCGAACTTAGAGAATGGTCACTACAAAATACTGAAGCTACCTTTTATCTTTCATGACTTGATGACTGAGTCAAAGGTGAATGAGTCTGTGCGGTCAATGGAGTCAATGGCACCATATGTCCCTTCTACAGAGTGGCTGATACAGAATGAACTGATGGAGCCAGAAGATGTGGCACAGGAGTCGTCTGAGAAAGTGTCAGATGATCAAAGCCAGATGTCATTTCATTATAGGCAGGTACCGGAAAAGTTGAATGAGTCAGTATGGTCAGTGCAGTCTTTGGCCCCGTATATCCCCTCCAAAGAATTGCTGATAGAGAAAAAATCTGATCCTGCTAACGTCAGTCAAGGCCTCCGAGCCAGTCAGGTCATGGCTATAACAGAGAGGAGGAGAAGTCGGAGGTTTTCGCTGACTTTAGAAAACTTGAAAGAGGCTGAGAAAATGTCTGACGAGAATGCTACTCCATGCCAGGAGTCATTCCATTATAGCCAAATACAGAGAAAGGCTAATGAGTCTGTTTGGTCAGTGCAGTCTTTGGCGCCGTATGTCCCCTCCAGAGAGTGGCTAATACAAAATGAGGTTCTGGATCCTGAAGAGGAGACTGAGAAAGAATCTGATGTGAATGTCAGTCAAGGCCTCACAGCCACCCAGGTGTTGGCTATAACCGAGAGGAGGAGAAGTCAAAGGTTGTCCCTGTCATCGGTAGACTCTCTTCCCCCTTATGTTCCCTCTTCCTGTTGGCTGGCCGACATGGGAAATGTGTACTACTATAGCAAGCTCCCGCTAGGATCTGAAGAGAATAAGCACGTTATCCGCACGCCAATGGATAAATTCACCCCATCAAAGGGGCCAAACATGAACTCCGAATCTCTGCCCAGCAGCAAAAGGGAGAGCAAACTTCGACGCAACCTACACATGGAGCCTGTGGAAATAGCCAATGTGGATGGTTCACCTATTCTGCTCTCAAGCAAAAGTGCAATGATCCCAAGTCTTGAAGGATCATTGAATAGCACTCAAGGGTCACTGAAACCCAAGGCTCAATGTAGCCCAAATCTGAAGGCTCAGGAAATTACAGAGCACAGGGCCCAGAGCCCTCCCTGCTCTCCAGATGACCCTGAAACATATGCCTCCAAATGTATGGCAGGAGACAAAGAGTCTGTTTACAGTTGTCCAGGTCCCTGCAACCAGGAAATGGAGACTGAAGAGAAGGAGCCTGCTGTACCCAGTCGACAGGGCTGTGAGCAGCTGATCACAGATGTTAGGATGCTAACGGCTCCTTCCTCAAACAGACACTTCAAGGTGTGTGGTCTGAAGTGTTCAAAGCTACAGGAGAGGAACTGCTCCTGTCAGGAGCCAAAGCTAAACGTAGGGAGTTTCAAGAAGAGCCCCACAGGCAGACTGAATGAGGGAAATGTGGCCCCTGATCTCCTCAAGCCTCAGGAGCAGCAGTGTCACATTTCACAGAATCAGCAACAACAGATTGGTAAGAGGGCAAAGCCTGCTTTTTGAAAATGTCTGAACTTTGTCTGAATTACTGTAGGATTTTGATGTATTCTCAGTGGTGGGAAAAAGTACCCAATTGTCATACTTGAGTAAAAGTAAAGATACCTTACTAGAAAATGACTCAAGTGAAAGTCACCCAGTAAAATACTACTTGAGTAAAAGTATTTGGTTTTAAATATACTTAAGTATCAAAATTAAGTGTAAATAATTTCTTATATTATGCAAACCAGACAGCACAATTTTATTGTTTTTATTATTATTTGCAGTTAGCCAGGGGAACACTACAACACGCAGACATCATTTACAAATGACGCATTTGTGTTTAATGAGTCCACCAGATCAGAGGCACTAGGGATTATCAGGGATGTTCTCTTGATAAGTGTATGAATTGGACCATTTGCCTGTCCTGCTAAGCATTAAAAATGTAACTAGTACTTTTGGATGTCAGGGAAAATTAATGGAGTAAAAAGTAAAAGTTGTCAAATGTAAATAGTAAAGTACAGAAAAAAAACGACAAGTAGTACTTCAAAGTATTTTTACTTAAGTACTTTACACCACTGTGTATTCTTGCACATTTGAAACAATGCTGGAAAATGACACTAATGTACATTTTACCTTTCTCCTGCAGATTCCAGGAGAGCAAACAAGGCCAGGCCTAGTCATGAATCTGGTGAAAATGGATATGGCCCAAACAATAACTCAAAGAAACGGAGACCATGGCAAAATGGACCACCGGGTATGTTCGACATATCATTATTTTCCACTGTGTTGGTGTTTTCAATGCTGAATACATGATGGTGTTATTGGTTTCGTCTACAGATAGAACACAGGCACAGACTAACCCATCAAACTCCTTTGGACAGCGGAACACCCAGAGGAATGGCTACCAAGAACCCTGTAATGGGTATTATGGCAGATCTGGAAAAACAAGAGGCAAGTAGAACTATTTAACCACCTTCATGAATATTCCAAGATGAAGACTTATGCTGGAGATCGAATATCACTTTTGAAAAGACAAAGCAGATCCTATATAGAAGATATTAAAATGGTTAATTGATAATGAAAATTGTCAACAACTTTGAAATAATGCTATTTTTCTCTACAGGAGCAAATGGAAAAAACCCAAGGTACTGACTGACCAGACTGTCACCAAGTGACTAAGACATTTTAATAACCCTATTTATAGGCCTACCTCAAACAAAATAAAACTTTTTTAAAAATAACTGCTTGTATTTTGGTCTTTTGAAGTGGAGGCATTTTAAATGAAAAGTTGAAAATGTGGATGGAAATGGGGCTTATAAGTGCGGTAGTTTGCTAATGATGACAGCTGAATTCTATACACACACCACTTAAAAAGCAAGAATGATTTACTATCAATTGCGAAAGGTACAGCAGATTCATTGTCTAGTAGTCCCAAGTGAAGGATGAATTCAGTCTAATCAAAAAAGTACCAATATGCTTTTTGATCGGGCTGTGAGGTAGCCTTATCAACATGTGGTAGGCGCTGCCAACTTCATACCGGACAATTAGTTATTTTACGTTGGCTAGGGTTGAACCATCGGGCGAAAGCGTGGAGGGAGGAGTGCACTGCTCAAGTCTGAGTCTGTGCTGCTCGGACATGTCAACAAGGCAGTATGGTCTAGAAATATGCATCTTTTACATAAAATACATGTTTGAATTTTCAAACTACTTTTTATTTGGAAGGCAGAAAGCGTTTTTATCAAAAGCAATTACTTTTACATGTGAAAACACAGAATCCTAACTATTACACGTGCTTAATTACGTTACTTGTTTTGAGCTGATTTAGCCGTCGGACAGAGCGGAGCACCTAGCTCACGCCCGGGAGTCAGCCCGGTTGCAAATCGAATGCAATCAACTTTCAGCCGGTGGATAACATGCCTACACGGGCGAGATTAATCGAACCCCCTCAATGTTTTGACTGATAGAGGGTGTGTGGGTAACTTGAGAAAAACAAGCAGGCTACAAGAATCTCGCGACAAAAAAAGGAACAGATGTTTCCTTAGGACTGGCTCATACTGGCTTCACTGTCAAAGTCCGGTAAGATGGTATGGATGTCGGTTCTTTAGTTGCTGAATGGTAGGCAGTGTGAATTTCAGTTGCTGAATGGTAGTGTGAAATTCCAAACCTTGTTCAGTAGGCTGTCTAACTGCTAAAGTTGGCTCTTGTATTCTTGCCTCAGTTCAAGATAAATCAACACCTCATGGCACAACGCCTCTCCCCTATTTGACCTAGATAGTTTGTATGTATTGATATGTAGGCTACGTGTGCATAAAAAAAAAAAGGTATGTAGTTCTGACCTTGAGCTGTTGTCTATTAATGTTCTGTATTATGTGTGGACCCCAGGAAGAGTACATTTACATTTTTAGCAGACGCTCTTATCCAGAGCGACTTACAGTTAGTGAGTGCATACATTATTATTCAACATTTTTTTTTCCATACTGGCCCCCCGTGGGAATCAAACCCACAACCCTGGCGTTGCAAACACCATGCTCTACTACTCTACTCTACTACTGCCGGCCATTCCCTCCCCTACCCTGGGCCAATGGTGCGCCGCCCCATGGGTCTCCCGGTCACGGCCGGCTACGACAGAGCCTGGATTCGAACCAGGATCTCTAGTGGCACAGACCACTGCGCCACTCGGGAGACATAGCTGCTGAGAGTAGCTGCTGCTTTTGCAACAGCTAATGGGGATCCTAATAAAATACCAAGTTCAAAGCAGATTGACTGCATGCTCGAATGCCAAGGTTCAATACAGGAATTGCACTGCTTTTATCAACGGAAAAAAATACATACCTTTTCATGGCATTCCTTGTTTACATAGCCTTAACTTAACACATGACTTCAACTTGCAACATCATGAATAAGGCTATATGGTACTAGTAATGTGTGCCATCATGTAATATTTTGCTTTCACATTACAGCTCCATCCAGGTGTTTCTGAGCCAGTGTCCACTTTTATATCAAGACCTATCTAGTGGCAAGCATCCTGTGTGAAAAGGCCAAGGACTTTGTCCTAGAAAGCTCTAATTAAAGTAAATTTTATTTTTGCAAAATGTAGCACTTGGGATAGGCTACTGCAGTAACTGTGGTAGGCAGGTTACACAACTATCTCTATTGCTGCTATTTAGAGGGATAATTTGACTATGCTTATGTGTCCTAGAGAAGCTTCTGAACTGGTTTGGTTGGTATGTCAGTACTTGCAAGAACTTAAACACTTCATGGGCTTTTTTTTGTTGACCGGCAAACAGTCTGTAGTCTAACTCACGACTGCTTCTTTAACTCAAATTCAACCTGGACTAAGATTGCTGCAAATCTCTTGTCAAGGCAATGTAATTCAGGAACTTTACCATAGGTTGAGTGATAAAGATCTTGCAGTCAGATCAAATACAGGTTTGAGCATTAGCTCGATTTTTCTTTTTTTGTTTGTCAATGACTAAACAGGCTTCTTGTACTTTATCTTAAATTGCACACAAATTAGACAGGCAGCCCAATTCTTTTTTTTTTCACTAAGTCTTTTGACCAATCGGCTCTGAAGAATATCTGATGTGATCAGTCTAAAGACCAATTAGTGGAAAAATATCAGAATTGGGCTGTCTGTCTAAACAGCCACACACACATTTTAGCTGCATTTAGACAGGCAGCCCAATTCTTATTGTTTTCTACTAATTGGTCTAATTGCATCAGATCTTTTCACATCAGATCTTTTTCAGAGCTGATGTGATTGGTCAAAAGGCTAATTGGTGAAGAAAATATCAGAATTGGGCAGCCTTAATGCTACTGATGTGTTTGTCTGTTTCTGACACCAGTGTTTTGGACAGAGTTCAGTGGGCAGGACATGACCAAGTAGTCTTATTCCTTTTTCAGTAGGAGTGATTTTAATGAGGATTACGGAATCACACACTGACTTGACAAATGTCTTCTCTCTAATAGGGTAGATGGAGCCAGACGTGGATTTAACTAAGTACTATGACACAACTAAAAAAGAGGTGAGACCAAGAGCATGAAACATCTGTCTCCCTCTGGATGTGCAATGGTTCCCTAATCTGCATGTTCATACTGAGGGAACAACATTTACATTTACGTCGTTTAGCAGACGCTCTTATCCAGAGCGACTTACAAATTGGTGCATTCACCTTATAGCCAGTGGGATAACCACTTTACAATATGTATTATTTATTTTTATTAATTTTTTGGGGGTTGGGGTAAGGGGGGGGTAGAAGGATTACTTTATCCTAACCCAGGTATTCCTTAAAGAGGTGGGGTTTCAAGTGTCTCCGGAAGGTGGTGAGTGACTCCGCTGTCCTGGCGTAGTGAGGGAGCTTGTTCCACCATTGGGGTGCCAGAGCAGCGAACAGTTTTGACTGGGCTGAGCGGGAACTGTGCTTCCGCAGAGGTAGAAGGGGCCAGCAGGCCAGAGGTGGATGAACGCAATGCCCTTGTTTGGGTGTAGGGACTGATCAGAGCCTGAAGGTACGGAGGTGCCGTTCCCCTCACAGCTCCGTAGGCAAGCACCATGGTCTTGTAGCAGATGCGAGCTTCAACTGGAAGCCAGTGGAGTGTGCGGAGGAGCGGGGTGACGTGAGAGAACTTGGGAAGGTTGAACACCAGACGGGCTGCGGCATTCTGGATGAGTTGTAGGGGTTTAATGGCACAGGCAGGGAGCCCAGCCAACAGCGAGTTGCAGTAATCCAGACGGGAGATGACAAGTGCCTGGATTAGGACCTGTGCCGCTTCCTGTGTAAGGCAGGGTCGTACTCTCCGAATGTTGTAGAGCATGAACCTACAGGATAGGGTCACCGCCTTGATGTTAGCGGAGAACGACAGGGTGTTGTCCAGGGTCACGCCAAACAGACTGTTTGTTTGTGGTTTGACATCTTGTGACTGTCATTGACACAACAGACCAAACTCATGATTATGGAACCTGTTTCACAAAACTCAGTGTTAGAATGTCAGATCTGTCTGAACTACTACAATTTGCGGCGCAGGCCCAAGCTCCTGGACTGCCCCCTGGGGTCTCCGTCTCCCAGCTCCCTGATGACCCGGACACTATGGCTGTCATCTCTGTCCCATCTCCCACAGAATACATACCTGTCTTCATACAGCTGCCTAGTAACACCTGCTACCTGTCTACAGACCACCAAGAGAGCGCTACAGTGCCCGGTGAACATTCAGGTAGGCACCTATGGGCTGGGCAGCCAAAGGGGATGTCTCCGGTGCCTGTGTCTGACGAGGGAAAACCAGGGTTGGGGGAGGAACATGGGGAGAGGGAGGAAGGTTGTTGTAAGAGCTCGTTCACAACCAGGGTGGGCTTAGTGGTTCTTCAGAGTTTTGTCCTACTCTTACTGTACAACAGGACCTGCATCTACAAACAGTTCACCATGATATCCTGTGACTGAAAGACTGGATACTAATAAGCTGTTTGGAATCTTTCTCACTCCCCAAAATTACAGGACATTGTCACAATGCCAGCATTCAGGCTATTTCTTAACCAGGGATAGTGCTGTCGTACTGAGGGAAGAAATTATTGTTATACTCTGTATTTGGAATGCGTACAGATATTGATGAATTGGCCTTTTTGAAAGTATTTTTCATTTTTTTTTGCAATAAAGAGTTAAAGCAATATAACCAATCACCATTATTCCAGCTTCTCTATTGTGATTCACTCAGAAAAGCAAAAAATTGTACTTATGTTAATTCATATGAAAAACATAACTGACCCATTTTAGAGTGCTGTGATTGTATTTGTTAAATTCTTCATTTTCACCTACAGATGGTGTTGAACGTTTTAGTGAAATGTAAACATTTTGGGCCACACACGATGACAATATGATTATGTTCAACATTTTAATAACCCCATCAACTGTTGCCTTCTTAACATTGATATTCTGAAATGTCAAATCTTAGATACAATATTGTTGTACACAAATAAAATGAATGTAGAATTAAACTGGCTACAGTATAATGATTCCGTGATACTCTGGAATACAAATAATATTTGAATATATTTATAAAAAATGAATATTTACGCAATAAAACATTTGAGAATAATTCTAAATGCATGTTTTAAAGTTGATCTGAGCCACAATCTGATTCATAAAGTGGTCTCAACCCTGATTCACCCAACCTGATTCATAAATTGGTCTCAATCCTGATGCATATATCATGACCGAGACAAGCGATCTCCTCCAACAGGTAGTCCACATCCTCTGTCTGTGTGGCCGGGTTGGAGAAGACACATCGGAAGAAGTTCACTTTATCTCCAAGCGGCTGATAGCCAATCATGGCCATCCCCTGCTCCATCATCTTGGCTTTGATCTTTGGTGCCACCTTAGAAACCAAACAGTTATTTTGCTATAACTTTATAGAGTATAGATATAAAGAGTATGAACTGAAGTCAAAATGTGCTGCTGCTAGTTATGAGTACAGATCAGTGCTTAATTTGAGCAGGATCCGGCACCTCTCCGTTTTGGACTGTTTTGTCCCGGAACCTATTTGGCCGGCTCCGGTACCTCTCGAGGCATGAAAAATAATGTTCACTTTTTGCAATGTAAAATTTGAATAAAAGCGATCAAAGTTCATTCGAGTTGCCTCTTCCTTAATTCTCCTGCCCCCAAAAAACATAATGTCAAAAAGTAGATTTTCAGGCCGGGCCTAATATTCCAAGAGTTGATTCGGGTTGGGAAGGCCCGGGTTTATGGTTTGCGCAACATTGTAACCTATGTTTGAGACCAACGCCTGGCCGTGGCTGTGTGAGAAGCGCGCCAGTATCTCTCACATAACTAGAATGAGATCAACTTTTTATGATCTCTCTTCCTCTCTGCTCTGATAGACATGATTCTGCAACTCTCATCTCTCCAGTGTTGCACGTCATCATTCATTTCCTAATAGAATCATAGCTGCGCAAAGGGGTCTGGAGGTGCTGCAGCCCCCTTGATAAATTGAAATAAATTTGCCAAAGTTAAATTACTGCTGTCTGTTCAGAAATAAATTAAATCATTCAGAATAGCCTACTACACCATGAGAAGGCCTATAATTTAGCCACAGAGGATAAATTGCTTCTTTAAAAAAATAGCCTAGCTGTGGATTGTAGCCCAATAACAAGGAATAGCCTACAGCATGCAGGGCCTCCCGAGTGGTGCAGCGGTCTAAGAGCTAGAGGCATCACTACAGACCCGGGTTCGCAGTGCTAGAGGCATCGATCTTGGGCTGTATCACAACCGCCCGTGATCGGGAGTCACATAGGGCGGCGCACAATTGGCCCAGCTTTGTCCGGGTTAGGGGAGGGTTTGGCCGGGGGGCTTTACTTGGCTCATCGCGCTCTAGTGACTCCTTGTGGTGGGCCGGGCACCTGCAGGCTGACCCCAGTCATCAGTTGAACAGTGTTTCCTCTGGCACATTGGTGCGGCTGACTTCCGGGATAAGCGGGCGGGTGTTAAGAAGCGCGGTTTGGTGGGTCATGTTTCGGAGGATGCATGATTAGACCTTCGCCTCCCGAGCCCGTTGGGGAGTTGCAGCAATGAGAAAATATCGAAATTGGGGAGAAAAAGGGGGTAAAATACACACAAAAAAATAAAACAGCATGCAGACAAAACAGGCCTTTCGCAATATTTCAAATACAATTGAGGGAAAACACACGTTGGAAAGCAAATGGCTCCTGCTGAAAAGAGAAGACTATACTGTAGGCTACCAAAATATTTGATCAACTTCCAAATATTGTTTTACTAGAGAGAGATAGGCTTTTGGCACGAGCACATCGGCCATCAAGGGAGTGAGTGAAACTGGAAAGCATTTTAGGACTATAATTTCCTCCTCACATTGTAGCCTACAATATGTGTCTCCACACACCTAGGCCTAGGCTATTGATGGATTCAATACATTTTTATTGATCTCAGATTCTCAGTTTGTCAGTGTCAAAGTAGCCTGCCATTTAAAGTATTTGTGTGTATTAAAAAAGATTCTACCAATCTCTCCAGTCATGTAAAATTATGTAGAAATGTGTTTATAAAAGGCCACATTTTCCCCGAACCCTAAATGTGGCGGAGTCTAGGGATATGGCTTTTGCTGTTCTGTTCAGTGACTTTCCAAGACTACTATGAGCCAGGTGACGTCACGGCCGGCTCTAAAAAGGTCCTGCGGAGAGGTGGCATGAGGGAGTGCACAGGCAAGTGTGTTGCAAAAGGAGGAGAGAGAGCGAACAATAATGAGAAGAGAAGAGAAGAGCCAAATTCAAAAAGTCACTTATCGTTGGAGAAAGAGGACGTGCTAGTTCTGGAAGAGGATTATTCCATACCGAGTATCGTTTGAGAAAGAGGACTGTTCCATACCACCGAATGACTGTCATTTTCGCCTTCGGGATTAACGTGAGTTCAATCGATGGAGCTAGCTACCCACCGGAGTGATGGACATCGAAGAATTGTTACCGACACCAGAGGAGAGCTGTGAGTTGAAGTGATTTAGTTATAGAAGATTCCCGTGGAGGTAATAGAGCTTTCTGTTAATGTCCTGAAAGAAGAGGACAATTAAGGTTGTGGACTTTTCAGTTGAATGACATTACATAGTAGTGCAAGGATAAGAAGGGACACTGTTAATAATGAACATTTAGGCCTAATTAGCCATTCAAAGGAGAATAAGATTACCGTGACAACGTTGCAGACTACTTCTATTATTGTAGTCCCTGACAGCCCTCATACAGACTCCATGAACACAGTAACGAGTGTCATTCTGTTTTTGTTGGTTTGTTATTGGGATATCGGATATAAATGCTGTAAAACTGCTAGGTTGTATTGCTATGTTTTCATTGGTTTAATTCAAGCTAGGCTACGCGTGCACGTGAGGTAGGTTACAGTAAGCTATTTTGTGAACTGTGAAATTGTGCCTGTTGTGTTGTTGCCTAAAATGGACGATATATTGTCATTATTTTCAAGCAGAACTGTCTTTTCATTACTACTGCCTTGGGGTAGGGGGCCTAACCTGTTTTAGGTATTGGGATGTATTGCAGGTGGATGCTCCATGCTATTAACCACATAATCTGAGGGGCTGCATACAGTGAGTTATTTGTAACTTTTCACCCTATACTATTAGGAAAGGTGCTACTACTTCTAAGTACTGTGGTTAGGTTAAATGTGTTGGGCAACAGAGACACCACTCTGTTTGTTGCTCAACCTCCCAAGGCTGATCTGAGAAAAACTGTACAAAAACAGGTATTTCCTACCTGTTACATAGGCTACTAAACATTTTCCCAATGTGTGCAACTTCTGTAAGTGCCTCTACTCTATTGCTCTATTCCACTACGCAAATGCGATGATATGCACGCAACGCTTTATTATAAAGGTTGTTTTTTTTTCTCATGCATTCCGGTACCTCAGAACTCCCCAAGTTGCCCCTTCTCGCGCTCACTATTTGTTCCGGCACATCCCGATTTACAAATTAATCACTGGTACAGATACAGTATCTGCAGTATCTAATGGATTAAGACATCTAATATATCACTATATTAGAGATCCAAGGTGTAGCATTACCTCATGGAGTCTCCTGTTCCTCTCAGGACCTGGTGGCATTTTCCTCAGACTTGGTGGGATGTACCAGAAGCACACGTTGCTGTGTTCAGGCTGCATGGGGATGTATCATACATAAAAGGCTTACAACAATTCATCTCACTGAGGAATTATTCAATAACTACATGGGACTTAAATAAACAGACTTACTTTGCTTTTGAAGACGAGTTCAAAGTCTGGTCTTTGTTTGATTTTGTCAAACAAGTGCTCAGCATTTTCCAAACATTTATTGACCTGTGATTCAAAGCCTTCTGAACCCTAAGAAGAGACATATAAAAAATACAATATAAATGTAGAGGGATGGGTATAAAATGTGTTTTATTGATCAGTTGATAAAGAAAAGAAAAATATCCATGTGAGTGTGTTACATACCTTGGCCTTCCACATGAGCCAGAGCTTGAAGACATCAACGTGTCTGCCACACTGAATGGTCTTGTCTCCGGTGTCATACGAGGTGTCGTAGTGCTTGTCAGTTTGGAAGAGGTATTCTGCACACAGCTGATTACAGTCTTGCAAGAGGCCCTGTGAGTGAGAAACCACTGATTACATTATGTGTGTGTGTTTCTGAGTGCGTGCGTGCGTGCATGCATGCATGTGTGCAAATTGTAGTTCAGGATGGATGTATTGGTAGTCTTGATAAAAAATAAATAAATATAAAATCATAGCGTTAGACTACTCACCCTTTTCTTCACCAGTATGGCTGAGCATTGCAGCGGAGCACCCATCATTTTATGAGGGTTCCAAGTCACAGACCAGGCTCTATAATGAAAATAATTCAAATAGACCTGCATGTAAGAACCAATCAAGGCAGTTGCTGTTGAGGGTAAATTCCAATTCAATTGTAAATGGAAACAGTACCCCCCAAATTGAATTGATCCTGGCTATACGTTAGAGTGAAAACTAGCAATATATTATCTTTTCGGGGAGCTGTAGATTTTGGGTGTCCTCAAGTCTCTGTTCTCTCTGGTTACCGTACCTACCGTTCAATCCCTTGTAGTTTCACACGGTGCCTCTTGGACATCAACAGTCCTCCGCCCCAGGCTGCCTGTTAAGAAATAAAGATAATCTTACTGTAAGTACAATCTTATCTTCACATATTTTATATGTGGTTCTCTGTAGCTCAATTGGTAGAGCATGGCGCTTGTAACGCCAGGGTAGTGGGTTCGATCCCCGGGACCACCCATACGTAAAAATGTATGCGCACATGACTGTAAGTCGCTTTGGATAAAAGTGTCTGCTAAATGGCATATTATTATATCTTAAATATTACAAATTCTTATGGGAACGGTTTCCCAGACACAAATTATGCCTAGTACTGGACTAAAAAGCATGGCCAATTGAAATATATTTTAAATCCAGGATAAAGATAAATCTGTGTCCGTTAAACCGTGATGTATAGACAGATGCTTTAAGGTAAATACATCAACATGCAGCCAGAGTCCATGGCTCTCACAGATGTCTGCGATGGCATTGAGAGGATCAAAGGCTCCGTACACAGTGGTGCCTGCTGTGGCATTGACGTAGAACGGGACACAACCCTGAAGAGAGAGAGAGAGAGGGAGAAAGATGACAGGAATCATGATGAGTGTATTGACCTGATCCTGTGAAATAATCCCTGCCAACGCACTGGAGCTCTGGTAGCTCATTTTATGCACCAGACAATGTTGTTGACTGGAAAACATAAATTCTGGTTTGAGTGTATTCTGTTGGGGGTGTCTGTTTCTTCCTAATTTGACAAAATCATTCCCTGGCTGAAAATACTGTATACAGGTATGCTTACATGTATTTCATTCAAAAATCCCTTTATTCCTCAGTTTGGCAAGAGCAGACTCATTCATCCATTACCTGATCTTTGGCAGTAATGATACTTGACTCCAATTCTGCAGGGATCATCTTTCCCCTTGAATAGAAAAAACAACATCACTCCTCTAGCTCTGATGATATTGTCAACATTCACGATCAACAAATGCAAATCACTCTGCCGTCCTTGCTTACCGGTCATCACATTTCACCACCACAACATTTTCACTCCCTATCCCAAGGACTGCCGCAGATTTCTTGACTGAATAATGACTCTAGAGGAGGGAAAAAAGTATTTGTCAGTACATGTTTATAGATAATGTGAATAAACATGACCTAATGTGAATATTGGTGATGCGTACATGTGCTGAGGTGAAGAGGATTAGCCTGGGCAGAGCAGTCATCCCTTTGGTCTTCACTTCAGGGAAAAAGTGGTATCTGGCCAGTAGTACACTGTACAGATTGGACATGGTCCCTCCTGAGGAAATATATATACATACTGTATTATAGATGGATATCTTACTAAGAGATTGTCTTAATCTTATAATTTAATTTAACTTCATAACAACTAAACAATATATTTTACATTTTACATTTTAGTCATTTAGCAGACGCTCTTATCCAGAGCGACTTACAGTTAGTGAGTGCATACATACAGTGGGGAAAAAAAGTATTTAGTCAGCCACCAATTGTGCAAGTTCTCCCACTTAAAAAGATGAGAGAGGCCTGTAATTTTCATCATAGGTACACGTCAACTATGACAGACAAATTGTAGGATTTTTAATGAATTTATTTGCAAATTATGGTGGAAAATAAGTATTTGGTCACCTACAAACAAGCAAGATTTCTGGCTCTCACAGACCTGTAACTTCTTCTTTAAGAGGCTCCTCTGTCCTCCACTCGTTACCTGTATTAATGGCACCTGTTTGAACTTGTTATCAGTATAAAAGACACCTGTCCACAACCTCAAACAGTCACACTCCAAACTCCACTATGGCCAAGACCAAAGAGCTGTCAAAGGACACCAGAAACAAAATTGTAGACCTGCACCAGGCTGGGAAGACTGAATCTGCAATAGGTAAGCAGCTTGGTTTGAAGAAATCAACTGTGGGAGCAATTATTAGGAAATGGAAGACATACAAGACCACTGATAATCTCCCTCGATCTGGGGCTCCACGCAAGATCTCACCCCGTGGGGTCAAAATGATCACAAGAACGGTGAGCAAAAATCCCAGAACCACACGGGGGGACCTAGTGAATGACCTGCAGAGAGCTGGGACCAAAGTAACAAAGCCTACCATCAGTAACACATTACGCCGCCAGGGACTCAAATCCTGCAGTGTCAGACGTGTCCCCCTGCTTAAGCCAGTACATGTCCAGGCCCGTCTGAGGTTTGCTAGAGTGCATTTGGATGATCCAGAAGACGATTGGGAGAATGTCATATGGTCAGATGAAACCAAAATATAACTTTTTGGTAAAAACTCAACTCGTCGTGTTTGGAGGACAAAGAATGCTGAGTTGCATCCAAAGAACACCATACCTACTGTGAAGCATGGGGGTGGAAACATCATGCTTTGGGGCTGTTTTTCTGCAAAGGGACCAGGACGACTGATCCGTGTAAAGGAAAGAATGAATGGGGCCATGTATCGTGAGATTTTGAGTGAAAACCTCCTTCCATCAGCAAGGGCATTGAAGATGAAACGTGGCTGGGTCTTTCAGCATGACAATGATCCCAAACACACCGCCCGGGCAACGAAGGAGTGGCTTCGTAAGAAGCATTTCAAGGTCCTGGAGTGGCCTAGCCAGTCTCCAGATCTCAACCCCATAGAAAATCTTTGGAGGGAGTTGAAAGTCCGTGTTGCCCAGCGACAGCCCCAAAACATCACTGCTCTAGAGGAGATCTGCATGGAGGAATGGGCCAAAATACCAGCAACAGTGTGTGAAAACCTTGTGAAGACTTACAGAAAACGTTTGACCTGTGTCATTGCCAACAAAGGGTATATAACAAAATATTGAGAAACTTTTGTTATTGACCAAATACTTATTTTCCACCATAATTTGCAAATAAATTCATTAAAAATCCTACAATGTGATTTTCTGGATTTTTTTTTCTCATTTTGTCTGTCATAGTTGACGTGTACCTATGATGAAAATTACAGGCCTCTCTCATCTTTTTAAGGGGGAGAACTTGCACAATTGGTGGCTGACTAAATACTTTTTTTCCCCACTGTATATATATTTTTTCATACATATATCCAAGATTAAGAGGACAAAATGAACCAATTCAATGGAAGTAACAAGGATAAATGTATCACAGTGTATGTTTGTCATTGGCTACATTGTTTGTATTGATAGTAAGGTCAGAATGTAGCTAACACTGTACCTGGACAGAAAACACCATCCCCCTCTTCCTCTGACCAACCCACAATCTCCTGCATCTTCCTCAGTAGAACCTCCTCCATCAGAATGAACACTGGGGACACTTCATAAGTAAACCTAGAAAAAAGGTTTTACATATTGCAGAATGACATTTACCAGAGAACAGATCACACCGTAGGCCCTAGTGTCAACTGGGCCCGTATGTATCAAGCGCCTCAGAGTAGGAATGCTGATCTAGGATCAGGTCCACCCTGTCCATGTCATTTTATTCATTATGATCTAAAAGGCACAATGTATCCAAGATCAGAACTACTACTCTGAGAAGCTTGATACATACTGTTCTCTGGTAAATGTCAGATCTGTTCTCTGACAAATGTAATTCTGCAATATGAGGGCTTAGTGAGAAATGAGATCTTACACCTTAGGGAGAATGTAAATCTTACATGTTTGTGTTGGCGGTAGATGTCAGCCATTCCCCGGCCAAACCGATGACATCCAGCCCTGACGACAGCTGATTGAAGAACCGTGGGTGACCTGGGGACAGATGAGGACATTCTGGAACATTCTACTAATCTATAATGTCTAAGATGTCTGTAATGTCAGCCATTGCCTGGACAGAAGCAATGACTTACTGGTACATGGAGTACATGTTTCGTACCTATAGTATATTTTTGGTAAATCTTCCGCAAAACAGTTGACAGCTCTTACGGTACCTGTTTTGACTCCATACTTCAAGGTGTCCCTGCAGTCGACCAGGAGTTGTTCCAGGTTCTCGGGCTGGTCTGGGAGATCCAGACTGAAGCCCTCCAGACCCTCTCTGAGTTGGTGAGGGTGGTGGAAGTCCAGGACTTTGGAGCTTCTTCTGAACGACTTGCAGACATAGCTGAGGAGAACGCTCACCAGCTCTTGGAAGAAACCTTTGGTTGTGTCCTCACCACTGAGAGCAGGGAGTAGATCTAAAGATAAAGGGACACTGTCAGGGCTCTAAATTAACTTTTTTTCATTGGTAGAAATTGCTCCCAACTTTCAATAGTTGGGAGCAGCAAAACGTTTGTAGGAGTACCAGAAAACGAGATTGATTTAAATTGCAACCAAGTTGTGCGTATGGAAAATGTATGCGATTTTTTTTATTTCAGCTAATGAAACATGGGACCAACACTTTACATGTTGCGTTTATATTTTTGTTCAGTGTATATACGCACACACAAATATATATACATATACACTACTCATTGAAGGGTTTTTCTTTATTTTTCGACTATTTTCTACAGTGTAGAATAATAGTGAAGACATCAAAATGATGAAATATTACATATGGAATCATGTAGTAACCAAAAAAGTGTTAAACAAATCAAAATATATTTTTATATTTGAGATTCTTCAAATAGCCACCCTTTGCCCTGATGACAGCTTTGAACACTCTTTGCATTCTGTCAACCAGCTTCACCTATAATGCTTTTCCAACTGTCTTGAAGGAGTTCCCACATATGCTGAGCACTTGTTGGCTGCTTTTCCTTCACTCTGCGGTCTGACTCATCCCAAACCATCTCAATTTGGTTGATGTGGGGGGATTGTGGAGGCCAGGTCAGCTGATGCAGCACTCCATCACTCTCCTTCTTGGTAAAATAGCACTTACACAGCCTGGAGGTCTGTTGGGTCATTGTCCTGTTGAAAAACAAATGATCCCACTAAGCCCAAACCAGATGGGGTGGCATATTGCTGTGGTAGCCATTTTACATTTTAGTCATTTAGCAGACGCTCTTATCCAGAGCAACTTACAGTTAGTGAGTGCATACATTTTCATACTGGCCCCCCGTGGGAAACGAACCCACAACCCTGGCATTGCAAGCGCCATGCTCTACCAACTGAGCTACAGGGTTAAGTGTGCCTTGAATTCTAAATAAATCACAGACAGTGTCACCAGCAAAGCACCCCCACACCATAACAAAAAATAAAGAAAAACCCTTGAATGAGTAGGTGTTCTAAAACTTTTGACCGGTAGTGTGTATATACAGTGCTTTCTGAAAGTATTCAGACCCCTTGACTTTTTACCACATTTTGTTATGTTACAGCCTTATTTTAAAATTGATTAAATTATTTTTCCCCCTCATCAATCTACACACAATACCCCAAAATGACAAAACAGCTTTTTGGATATTTTAGCAAATGTATTACAAATAAAAAACAAAAATACCTTATTTACATAGGTATTTAGACCCTTTGCTATGAGACTCGAAATCGAGCTCAGGTACGTCCTGTTTCCATTGATCATCCTTGAGATGTTTCTACATTAGAGTCCACATGCGATTTGAGATGTTTTCTTGATTGGAGTCCACATGTGTTAAATTCCACCCCTTTATGTTCATTTAGTCATTAATGCAAATACTCCCAGTGTATTTATGCAAATGAGGCACATATCATTTTCTTTATTTTAGCACACACAAAAAACCTGATACCATTAGAAAATGTATGAGTGCATTCTAAGAAAAAAAGTGGAATTTTACAATAAATTGAATCCCTGAACTAAAATTTCTAAACGTTTGGAGTATCTTCATCCATTGTCAAACTGTTGCATTAATTAGAATTGTTTTTAAAACATTTTAACAATTCTGATGACCATTGCTATAATTTACAATGCAGAAAATTGCTGGCCTCTAGCCCAAACCATTCAAATATAGGCAATGGCCATGTCCGAAATCTGTCTTGCTTAGGCCTATTTCTTATTAAAACTACACTGAACAAAAATATAAACGCAACATGTAAAGTGTTGGTCCCATGTTTCATGAGCTGAAATAAAATTCCCAGAAATGTTCTACACACAAAAAGCTTATTTCTCTCATTCTGTGCACAAATTTGTTTACATCCCTGTTAGTGAGCATTTCTCCTTTGCCAAGATAATCCATCCAAATCAAATCACATTTTATTGGTCACATGCGCCGAATACAACAGGTGCAGACATTACAGTGAAATGCTTACTTACAGCCCTTAACCAACAGTGCATTTATTTTAACAAAAAAAGTAAAAATAAAACAACAACAAAAAAAGTGTTGAGAAAAAAAAGAGCAGAAGTAAAATAAAGTGACAGTAGGGAGGCTATATATACAGGGGGGTACCGTTGCAGAGTCAATGTGCGGGGGCACCGGCTAGTTGAGGTAGTTGAGGTAATATGTACATGTGGGTAGAGTTAAAGTGACTATGCATAAATACTTAACAGAGTAGCAGCAGCGTAAAAAGGATGGGGTGGGGGGGGCAGTGCAAATAGTCCGGGTAGCCATGATTAGCTGTTCAGGAGTCTTATGGCTTGGGGGTAGAAGCTGTTGAGAAGTCTTTTGGACCTAGACTTGGCACTCCGGTACCGCTTGCCGTGCGGTAGCAGAGAGAACAGTCTATGACTAGGGTGGCTGGACTCTTTGACAATTTTGAGGGCCTTCCTCTGACACCGCCTGGTATAGAGGTCCTGGATGGCAGGAAGCTTTGCCCCAGTGATGTACTGGGCCGTACGCACTACCCTCTGTAGTGCCTTGCGGTCGGAGGCCAAGCAGTTGCCATACCAGGCGGTGATGCAACCAGTCAGGATGCTCTCGATGGTGCAGCTGTAGAATTTTTTGAGGATCTGAGGACCCATGCCAAATCTTTTTAGTCTCCTGAGGGGGAATAGGCTTTGTCGTGCCCTCTTCACGACTGTCTTGGTGTGTTTGGACCATGATAGTTTGTTGGTGATGTGGACACCAAGGAACTTGAAGCTCTCAACCTGTTCCACTACAGCCCCGTCGATGAGAATGGGGGCGTGCTCAGTCCTCTTTTTTTTCCTGTAGTCCACAATCATCTCCTTTGTCTTGGTCACGTTGAGGGAGCCACCTAACAGGTGTGGCATATCAAGAAGCTGCTTAAACAGCATGATTATAACACAGATGTGCTGGGAACAATAAAAGGCCACTCTAAAATTTGCAGTTTTGTCACACAACACAATGCCACAAATGTCTCAAGTTTTGAGGGAGAGTGCAATTGGCATGCTGACTGCAGGAATGTCCACCAGAGCTGTTGCCAGAGGATTGAACATGCATTTCTCTACTACAGTGGCATGCGAAAGTATTCACCCCCTTGGCATTTTTCCTACTTTGTTGCCTTACAACCTGAAATTAAAATGGATTTTGGGGGGGGGGGGTTGTTTCATTTGATTTACACAACATGCCTACCACGTTGAAGATGCAACATATTTTTTATTGTGAAACAAACAAGAAATAAGACAAAAAAACAACTTGAGCGTGCATAACTATTCACCCCCCCCCCCCCCCCCCCCATATGTTTGGGGAGTCTCCCACATGCCTTTTGGCAAACACCAAACGTGTTTGCTTATTTTTTTCTTTAAGCAATGGCTTTTCTCTGGCCACTCTTCCGTAAAGCCCAGCTCTGTGGAGTGTACGGCTTAAAGTGATCATATGGACAGATACTCCAATCTCCGCTGTGGAGCTTTGCAGCTCCTTCAGGGTTATCTTTGGTCTCTTTGTTGCCTCTCTGATTAATGCCCTCCTTGCCAGGTCTGTGAGTTTTGGTGGGCGGCCCTCTCTTAGCAGGTTTGTTGTGGTGCCATATTATTTCAATTTTTTAAATAATGGATTTAAATGGTGCTCTGTGGGATGTTCAAAGTTTCAGATATTTTTTTATAACCCAACCCTGATCTGTACTTCTCCACAACTTTGTCCCTGACCTGTTTGGAGAGCTCCTTGGTCTTCATGGTGCCGCTTGCTTGGTGGTGCCCCTTGCTTAGTGGTGTTGCAGACTCTGGGGCCTTTCAGAACAGGTGTGTATATATACTGAGATCATGTGACACTTAGATTGCACACAGGTGGACTTTATTTAACTAATTATGTGACTTCTGAAGGTAATTGGTTGCACCAGATCTTATTTACGGGCTTCATAGCAAAGGGGGTGAATACATTTGCATGCACCTTTTTTCCATTATTTCTTTATTTGAATTTTTTTAAACAAGTCATTTTTTTCATTTCACTTCACCAATTTGGACTATTTTGTGTATGTCCATTACATGAAATCCAAATAAAAATCAATTTAAATTACAGGCTGTAATGCAACAAAATAGGAAAAACGCCAAGGGGGATGAATACTTTTGCAAGGCACTGTATAAGCCGCCTCCAATGTCGTTTTAGAGAATTTGGCAGTACATCCAACCGGCCTCAAAACCGCAGACCACGTGTATGGTGTCGTGTGGGCGAGCGGTTTGCTGATGTCAACGTTGTGAACAGAGTGCCGCATGGTAGCGGTGGGGTTATGGTACGGGCAGGCATAAGCTACTGACAACGAACATAATTGCATTTTATTGATAATAATTGCAATTTGAATGCACAGAAATACTGTGACGAGATCCGGAGGCCCATTTTCTAAAAAGGTATCCGTGACGAACAGATGCATATCTGTATTCCTAGTCATGTGAAATCCATAGATTAGACCCCAATGAATTTATTTAAATTAACTGATTTCCTCATGAACTGTAACTCAGTAAAGTCTTGAGTTACAGTTGCATGTTGCATTTATATTTTTGTTCAGTATACATACTGTGTAGGTCTACTAATACTGTAGTAGGCTACTACATACTGTTTAGAACATACTGTTTAGTAAAAACGTATGCAGTAAGCAACACATATCAATATGCCATTTAGCAGACGCTTTTATCCAAAGCGACTTACAGTCATGTGTGCATACATTTTTACGTATGGGTGGTCCCCGAGATCGAACCCACTACCCTGGCGTTACAAGCACCATGCTCTATCAATTGAGCTACAGAGGACCACAGCATACTGAGAAGGCGTCATCTTACGACGTTATCTATAATAATATTTCTTTTTTTATACTCACAGAGCTGCCAACTTTCACGCATTGAAAAGTACTACTTTTATTTT